TGCCCCCTGACAATGTGCATCCAAGAAGTATGTTTTCATTCCGACCCTTTAAAAAGGAGCTATGGCCTTTGTTTAAAAAAAAACTTTGTCGCCTCATAAACTTCTGGGCCAATTTCATGAAAGCTTACAGATATGGTAATTACCCCCTGATGTTTTGCATCAGGGTAGTATTTGTTCATTTCGACCCTTTTTAAGGAGTTATGGCCCTTTGTTAAAACTCTTTGTCTTGATAACTCTTCCTTAACTACTAGAACGATTTCAGCAAAAGTGGGTCACCAAGGCTAACAAGATGTGGTATGAAAGTATGTTTTGGCATAGGGAGGGAGTACAAGAAGTATGTCAGTGACATATATACATACATAATTACTGGTGGGGGACTATGGATTAATTTGCAATGCTTTGCCTTAGTTAGCCTTTAGATTACAGTTCTGGTTTATATAGGAGCGGGGGTTATTCTTTGGCTTACAGTTCTAGTTATTATTTTTGTTGCCTTTTGACCATCCAAACAAAATATGAAGGGATATTACACTATTTTATATCGTCAACTCTAAACAAATAAAGCAAGAAAAGATACCCTTGTCTGACTCCCCATACAAAAACAAATAATCGGCACATTTGGTTTTTGTGACCTTGAACAAAGGTCAAGGTCATCAAAATTAACAACACTTAAACTCATATACATGAACAACCTACTTACCAAATATCAACACCCAAGGACCTTTAGTCATGAAGAAACACAAGTTAAAGGAAATGTGGAAAGAAAGCTTTGTTTTTCTTTTTTTGAGCAAAAAGTAGTATACGACAAGTTTACCGGTTTTCATTTTTTTGGGAATTCCTGATGTTGAAAGATATTACTGGTAGCCAAATTTTTAACAGGTAAAAAATAGACTAGTTTTAGGACTATATGAATTAACGTGTAAAAAATGGAAAATTTCTCATTAGAAATGAAATTTCACTCATTTTCTGCTTAATTCTTAAATAAAAAGAAGAATTCTTTATTGAAATAGTCTAATATTTGTTATCAAAATAACAGTTGAAATACGTTGCACACGATGATGATATAATTTTATAGTAATTGTGCCAATAACATGCTCTAGGAGGAATGGTATTACTGCACCTTTAACGCCCACACAGGTGTAAGTCAAGGAGGTCCCATTTATCATCAAATGAATTCTGAAACTAACTGTTCCTGATTTAAGCTTCCTATTCCCATACCTTTTTGGATTGATCTTGTTTTGAAATTCCTAGTGGGGCCCGACGCTAATGTTAAATCTCCATAGGCGTTGACCCTACCTTTGAAATTGTTTGAATGCTTGGCCAATTTTTATGAATAAAAAACATACCATATGTTTATTATCTGATCATTGGCAAATTGCCATTAAAACTTTGTTTGGAACTCCAATTAGTTATGGTAACATTGGATACCGCAATCATTACTAATATAAGCTTCTGCTGATAAACGGCTCATTTGGGAGTCAAATGAGATGAATTATTTTGCTGTTAATCTATATATGATTATTTTAATCATATATTGAATATGCATATTATGAAAACGTGTTTCAAGGTCGTTGAAGTGCTTTGCTCAAGACTGATACATGTTCAAAACATAAAAAAATCCAATGTTTTGATAACATTAGTTCTAAACAAGTAGTATTGTATTTACTTGTTTTCGTTAGGCCAAAAAAATTGATTGAAATCTTTATCATTTAGCCTGTAATGTTTTGTTTAATAGTCGAATACCCTGGCCAAGTTCAAGAGGGACATAAAAACTCACCTCTTCACGTCTGAATTTTAGAATCTTTGCAAAGACGTCATGTATATAACCATTACTATTATCCATATGTTGTAAAGCGCCTTAGAGTAATTTTACAAATTATATAGGGCGCTATATAAATGATGTATATTATTATTATTATTATTAAGCTTTATGAGAAGAAGATTTTTACAGAAATGTCAAATATTCTCTTTTTTTGTTTGTCGGTGTTGTTCATAGCCAGGGCAATTCTGTTTGTTACAAGGAACTCTTCATCGCCTTGTGATACCAAATTAACGGATCCTATATATTTGAAATATTACCATTTAAATAAACGATGTCTCAATTATGTCGAAAAGTATTTCCTACAACCTTGACTTCTCTTAGTTTCGTTCAACCAGACTCTTGTTCTCTGCGCAAACTACGCAGAACAGATATCAAAGTGATCAAGCGTCTGGTTGAACGAGACTACAACCTATGTGGTAAACAGGAAGTCGATGACTTGCCATATTAGTTGGTTTACTTTGCCAGTTGGTTTATAAAAAACCCTCGATTGTGTACTTGTCAATTTACAACAACTGTCTTTTGGCAGCTGAACAACAATTAAACATAGTACAATAGCAATACTCTAGCTGTAATTATATATAATTTTCACAGGGCTTTGAACTTCAAACGTTGTAGTTTCGTTTCATGAACTTACCCACTCCACATCTCCATTTTATATAACCTACATTTTCTCGTGTGCGATACCTTCTTATTCCAAATAGGCAATTAAGACCAATGGAATATTATATATTAAATTTGAAACTATTGCCAAAAAAAGACTATCATGATTGATCAATTCAAATATTAATACAACAAATTGTGTATCATGCCAAAAAGTAATGACATTTTTCATTAATCCGTACACTATGTTGTATTTTTCATTTCTGTAACGACGATTCATAATTGCCTGCATAGTATGATCCTGTTCTCAAAACAAAGCTTTTTACCTTATACATTTAAAACTAACCAATAACTCGTAACATACACAAAATTAGCAACACTTTATCTGTGAGAAAGCTCGATTTTATTGAATTTATGTGACTGATTTTCAGAATCAAAAATGAATAACCCTGAAGGACAACGGATGTTACTTTACTCCGACCGGGAGTTATTTTATTTGAGTTACGTTAAAATGTGGTACAACGCTTTTCCCTCATCATACAAATAACTATATTCGTTTTGATATAACAATGGGGCAAACTGTATAATCAACTAATCAAATTGTTCGACGTCACGTCAAATATTATGCTGTAAAATTGCAATACCAATAGAATCGTTTAAAAAGACTTTATTGCTTTTTTCTCTTTAGTGTTTACCAAACTCATTTATTGAAAAGTATATCCTTTGGTTTTCTAAGGTCGTGTGGTTGTGCTTCACAAGAAGAAGATTTTCGAAGGAAATATATATATTTATGTTTGTTTCTTGAGATATTCATTTTAATGGCGATGTCGTTCGCATCACGACCTAAGCAATACGACCTCAACCAATGCCATCCTCAAAATGAACCTTTCCCCAAATCGTGTTAATAATGTCCTGTTTTCTATTTTAAAGCTTACAATGCATGTTAAAATCTTTCATCAAGCTTTCCCCAAAACCACACCGGAACCTCTCCGTTGCTAGCAGGAAGTCAATGCATCACCATATTATTCTGTAAACAACGGAGTCGCCGACCCTGTCAGCTAGTATTTAAAACTACTTAATTGTGTAATAGACATCTACCTATTGAACATCGCTTACATAGAGTGATTCACTGTTAACATACCTAAAATCTAGCTGTAATTGAAAAATAATTGCCGTGGGTTTTCGACCCTTTTGCGCGCCGTATAATTAGTGCTTATTTATTTACAGCTTATCTCTATCGACAATTTCAGTTGACTGAGCTAGTTCCACTCGGCTTTTCGCTTTGTGTTTACGACATTTGTCTAAAACGACACATTGCTCCCCTCGAAAACCAAAGTCGGAAGCGTTGCTAATTATAAGTACATGGTTGAGTTTCTTTATTAGTAATATTTCTGAGAGAAGGTTGGCGACACTGTTGTAAACTTATAAATAAAGGGAATGATGTATATCCATCATCTCATCGCTCCCAGGTGAAAGTTAAAATAAATGAAAAAGCGATAGTGTGATTTCCACCTGGGAACGAGGATTGTGTTTGTCCCTGTTGAAGAACGTTTCAGAAATATTTTTATATTTCTGAAAATTAATTGTCGTCAAAAAAAATTCTGTTTTGAATCCATAAACTTCTTTATTTATTTATAGCTTTGTTTTAATATCCCAAATAAGACATTATTAAACATAATTTTGTGCATCGGTTAATACAGTTTTTGGACAACCCGATACAATAACGAAAAGACGGAACATAACAGGCTTACCGTGCTCATTTTATATATTTGGACAAAGTTAGCTGATGAATTTTCAAAATATTTTCAGAGTGAGTCATTTATTTAATTGCCGTCTTTTCGTTTTGCTCATTTATATTCAACACACAAGTAATTTCAGATGGTTTGAATCTGTTTTACTCTATTAAAACAGAAATCGATACTTCTAAGAATTTCAAAAATAAAGAAAATATTATTTAAATACATTTTGTAATATCAATAACCCAGTTTCTATATTTAAATCTTGTGGTTAATCGTGGTATATATAACGTGCACATACGCAGTACGTATAATTTTACACGCCGCAATTAACACACCATTTCATAATCAATTATTTTACAACAAATTGTTATTGATTCCTTGCCATTGTGTCTGGTGATAAACCAATAAACGTGATAATATCTTCGTGCCTGCTATCAGTGGATTCATTTACTACCGGTCTATACTTATCGATAATATTTCAAGACACGCGTATATAAATCTCTCACAAAAATATGCCCACTCTCAGTATCCACGCGAGAATGAGTAAGCAATGGAATGTGTGAGAGCTGAACGTAGTGACAAGCCGTGTCAAGTTTTGAGTAAATACCATCGATAACAGATTACACCTACTTAGTCAGCAGAACGATTGCCTGCGGCCGATAACTTGGCAGGCGAACAAAGGCCGCGTCCCTGACAGGCAGAGTAACTTGGCAGCCTGCCAACATTGTTGGCAGCTGGTGTTTATATTAATACGTTACTAAAAATAGATAAGCTCACGAGTCGTAACTAGGCTGTGGAAATTTTCATAGGCGTTTTCTGGGGATTTTCCATTGACTTACATATCACGTGATATCCGCCTCGCATAACAAGTCTGCGCAGAAATAAGAGGACATTGTATAGAACGTCCTCAGTCAGAGAAGAGGCGGAGTTCAAGACGACATGTGGTTAGTCATGTTCGGTAATATCTACATTGTAAGTTGGAAAGGACAACTAGCAGATATTGAAATATGATTGTATTACCTCTCATTATCTGCGAAAGCTCTTGGCAAAATTTCAAAAAATATAATAACCTACTGAAAATTCCAAGTTAAACTGATAATGACAGAAAAGAGTGAACCGGTTTAATGTCATGATCGGCTGGGATTGAATATTTGGCAAACAAATATTTTCTCATAGGATTAATTATGAAATATATACAAAAATGAACACGTTTAGTCATCGTGTTACGTGCGGTGTATGACGTCATTTTTAATAATGACGTCATTATGCATGACGTCATTTCAATTTCCACATATGCCACCATCATATTTATTTAAGTGTGGCATTTTATATGACGCTTTTATTTTTTAAGAAATGTGTCATTTAACGATGATTCCAAACAAAAAATGCTAAATCATAGAAAAAAAATCGAAATTTATGAAAATGTTTATTAAGTTAAAAACGTGCGAATATATAAACTTTAGTTCACGAAAAATAGTGGAATGACGTCATATAAAATGACAAAATTTATGTGTTGGAATGACGTTACAGACATTATCATCATCAACAAGACCACAAATTTCAACTAGGATTTGTCAATAAGTCTGTAACAGGATTAAATAACTTATGACACGGCTTATGTGACGATGTCGTCATAAAATTTGGAGATTTATAATAGTATGTGGGTTAACGTATGTGTACGGGCATACCGCCTCGAGTTCCTTTGTGTTGATAGCCTTTGTTCGATACAAAATACCCTGTGGCGGTCCTCCGCTAAACTAACCGGAAGTAACACAGTGAAGCCTACACTCTTCAAAGCGAGACTGCAGTAATGGCGGCATGTTTGTATCATGCTAATCTGTTTCGATAATAATGCGATTGCTTCCTATTTGCAGGTTTGAAAATGGCAGACGAGATAGAATTTACAGAGGAGGAGAATCCTTTTAAACTGTGCGTGCTTTGTGCAACTGATTTAAAGGACAAATCTCCAAAATTACTTCCATGTCTGCACACTTTGTGCAACGCTTGTTATCAGACGCTCTTTCAAGTTTTAAAACCTGAAGACCCAAAGCTCGAGGTCTCGAAAGATGAATCTGAGACAGAAAAGGAAAATGGCGATAAAACAGAAACATCCGGAGGGGGAAGCGGTGATCATACGTCGATAGACAGTCCGTTAGTTTTAGTGGATCTTGAAAAACCGGCGACCGGTGACAAGACCAGTAAGTGATTTGCATGGAGCTGACCGTGCTTGGTTAAATTTGTGTATAAACTATTGACGTACAATATGTTTGCCATGTGCGTAACTAAGTACAGTATAACTTTGAATATAGTCACATGCATGCAACAAGCAGTCAGAAATTATTTATTAATTTAATTGGTAAATTGCACAATGTCCGATGTTAAAATTGTTATCACATGTTGTTATAACTGCGAGTGTTATATGATTACATGTGTGTATTGTAATGATGTATTCAATCTAGGCCTACAGATGTATGAAATTGATCAATTGTGCAAAGTAGAATGTATGATATAAATCTAAATAAGTACTTATAATAATAATAATATTAATTCAGGTAAAATGAACTTCACATTTTATCTCGGGTTTAAAAAAAAAGAGGATATATTTTAGAATATTATAAACAGCAGTGTGTAATTTGGTGTTTAGAATAAGCCCACTGACAGATTTTGTTAAAGTATACTGCTGTAACTAGCACGAAAACCTTTTTTTGCTACTTAATATTAAAAGTTTTTGATAGTGTTGCTGAACTGGACTGGGTCAATCGTGGATGGTCAGGTAGCTCAATCGGTAGCGTGTCCGTCTAGAGTTCAGAGGGTCCCAGGTTCAAATCACAGTCTTGCTGTGCATTTTTCCTTCTATAGCAATTGTTGGGAATTTTCATTCATCTATCCTTATAAATGTTATCTACATGTACTAGTCCATGTCATTGGACCAGTGCAAGTGGAATTGCACAAAGCTGACTTAAGTGTATATATCCCAATGACTATTTGATGACCATGGGAATTAAAATGTGTGCCACTATGAGTCCTGTTGCCATAGTTTTGTTCGAGAGTGGGTGTGGAACATCCCTGCATATATATTGACTGCATTATAATGGAAGATAAAGAAATATGAATTTGGTTTTACACATGTTCATGAATCGTTCTTAATAAACACTGTTTACGTTCTGATAAGGTTTCTCAGTGATTTTTTGGACACAAGATACATCCTAGTCATGGATTTACAAACTTTTGAGAATCCACAACATCTCTGGGAAATAGACAAATTAAACTCCCAAACGTTTTGAAAATGATATTCATAACTCATGGATAAATTAATCCCACAAAAATCAATTGTTTCTTTAAAAATACATTATGGTGGATCATATATAGTTAATTTGCTCTTAGATAAATCTTAAGTCTCAAAAAATTGATATCATGTCTAGTACAGTATTACCCTAACATTAAAAAGGATCTTTTGGGTTTTTCCCAGCCAGGTGGTAAGGAAAGCTATACAAAGGTTAAACATGTATGTAAATTGATAGTAAATAAAAATATATATAAATACATATTACACCTTATAAAACTGTTATTCAATACACTCTAAAGTTCCAAGGAATTCTTAAATTAAGAAATTATGAAGAAGTGTATTTGATGATAATATCTGGAGGATTCAGATTTCATGAAATATTTTATCTTTTATATTTTACAGAAAAAGATGGTGAAAAAAGTGAAGACAGTTTCTCTGTGTCCTGTCCAGCATGCAGTATTGCTGTTGATAAGGCGCTGGTGATTGACAATCTGTTTGTGAATGTTGATGCAGACACACCAATAGTAATAGATGAGGATGAAGAGGAAAAGGAAGAAGTTCACAAATGTACAGCATGTGATGAGAACGACGAAGCATCATCTTTCTGCCTAGATTGTCGCGAGTGGTTGTGTGATCAGTGTGTTTTCGCACACAAACGTGTAAGAATCACCAAAGATCACTCAATCTCACCGAAAGGTGAACTTAAAAAAGATGACGAACCTCCAGTTACAAAAGGACAGAAGAGCATGTTTTGTCGTACACATAAACATGAACCTCTAAAATTATTTTGTGAAACATGTGATAGGTTGACGTGTCGAGATTGTCAGCTTTTAGAACACAAAGATCATAGGTATCAGTTTATGAATGAGGCCATTACGAAACAGCGAGAAATTCTCCAACATGTGGTCGTTAAAGTGAAACAAAAGTTACAAAATTACAACCAGGCTGACAAAATACTCCAAGCCAAAAACCAAGAATTAAAAACAAAGTTGGAAGACGTTTGTGACAACATAAGAAATGTGACTGATACACTTGTGAATGAAATAAAATCACATTCTGACAAACTAGTTACTCATCTAGAGAAGTACATAAGCAGTAAAACTTGTGTGATATCAGACAAACAGAGGTTAGTGAACGACGCTGTGTTTCGAATGAGACATTCTGTACAGTTTGTGGAAAATGCTCTAACATTGGGTGACGACCTGTCAATTCTCTACACTAAGGGCTCTATGATGAAAGTTCTGGACCAATTGTCACGTACTGGCATTCCATTTCACCCAAGCATTCTTAACTACGCTATCACATTTGAACATGAAAAGGACTTCCTCCTGAAAAACATTATTAAAGTGGGTCATTTGGTAATTGATGGTACTAATTATCCAAATGCGTGGCTAGGGGGTCATGTGACATCACAAGCCTCCCCAGTTGCTCTGCCTAGTGCCCCTTTTCAGACCACCCCTCACTCCCATGCCCCCAACATGACAGTACCTCATCGTCCCCCTATCCCAGGCTTTGAGAGTGTTGCAGCTAGAGTTCCTCCGAATATATACAACCATATTAAGAACCAAGTTAAGAATTATCCACCAGAGAAACAGCGGGAGATGTTTCAGAAAATGGTTGAACAGTACCAGCTTCGACAACAGCAGAAAGCAATTCAGCAGTTTAGACAGCAGCAACAGTTACAGCAGCAGCATCCACCACCTCCGGGAATCTATGGGGGAATACTCAGTGGCTCCAACTACCAAGCAGGGCAGGTGCCTGTCATAGAGGCCACGCGAAACCTCAACAATATCACGAATGGTGGCATGCCAGCACGTGCTCAGATGTCGGGTGCATCTAGTAGGTTCCCAGCCAGTGGCGCGATACACAATTTGGCAAATATGGGTGGAACATACTATAACACTGCAGCTCCGAGTCGGCCCCCTGCTCCTGCCGGAAATCGCAATCAACCACCACCATCTTACAACAGGCCCATGCTTCCCCAAGGTATGAATGCATATGCCATGCAGCAGCAAAACTTACCAAAGCGTAGCACTGCCCCTGACCTGTCTGGATCGGGTGGTTACAGTGCACCGCGATCGGGCATGTGTCAGGAGGCATCAGGTCCAACGCAGGGCGGGTACCGCCAGAGGCCGCAAATGTCAACCGAGGGGCAGCACCAGCCATGTAGCCCCACCGCTGGGTGGCAAACAACTATATGTGATCTTACCAATAAATATCTGCCCTCCACGCAATCAGGCCCCAAAACATTTGAGCAAACAAGATCCCCAGGTAAGGCTCTTGGTGTTGTTGTGAATATATAACCCCAGGCAGTTAGTTAGTAGCTTCCCACTCATTAGTTTAACCTCCCAAGTCACCAATCTAGCATGAACTAATACTATTTGCACATTTTACCCTAGTTTCATTTTCTGTTGCAAGGGAGACAACTCTTGAGCTAATCTTACTTCCCCATTTTTCAGTCGGACACTAGATGACAGCATGCTTGCTAACATTCTTTTGCATCAGGTGGTTTGCTCTGTTCACTAATTTCACTTAACAAGTGTCTTGATTTTACAGCTATTTATCAGTGCATATAACTTGTAATTACATAAGTGTTGCATGGTCGTAGTAGTGCGGCATAGCCTGTAGTTGATGGCAATCACTTAGTGATGTCGTAGGAACATAGCACAATAAATGTTTTTTGCATAATTTTCAAATTACCATATTAGTGTGCCTNGGTGGGTGGGTTGAAAAGAGGGGTTTGAAAAGTGTACAATTTTGGTACATGTATTGATTTTGACCGCCATAGTAAAGACAGGTCACAAGTGCAGTTCCAAGTAATTTTTATATTAGAAAACTTGGTCCAAACTTGTAAAGTACATAAGCTTCCTAGCATTCTTGTCTGTAGCAAATTATTTGATATTTATAAGAGACGGGCAATGATAGAAATTATTTGTTACTGGCATGAAGTCTAAGACTATATCTAAAGCTAGATTGACATTTTAAATCTTTTGTCTGCTAGGGCCCATAGTACAAAGTACATGCATACTATAGATCCACATATACCTATCAATGCTAGCTAGTGGGATTTAACAGCTAGTAGGCCTGCAATAACTCCAACTGACTTCGCTTCGCATGGACCTTTGCTGGCTCGGTCGAGTCACGTTAAGTTGATTTTATTCAGTTCGTTATTTGAGGTCTGATTGCGTGAAGCTGTGCAGTATTGATATCGCTGAATAATTAAGGCGAAGAGTTTTGTAAAAAAAATAAGATGATTTTCGCATGAGTCCATGTATTATTTTTTTGTGTGTGTGCAAATATCTGATTGTGAACACTATTTGGACATATTTGACTTGTTAATAAGTCATGAATATGCTTATAAATCTAGTTTGGGACATCTTCACATAGCTGTTGATGACTACGCCCCCTTAATTTCATCAACCTTAAGAAATTGATATTTGTACATATGTACATAACAGTGTAGACTATGTATAAGACATGGTGTCTCCAATCACGAATGTACATCAAAGGTGCAAGCTGGACAGCAATACATTCCTGTCAACTTTTATTCCATTAAGACAAGACATTATTTTAAGTAATCAAACTTTTTGAAACTAGCCACCAGCATTAAAGACTGAAAAAAGCAATGCTTTGCTTCAGATTCCTACACTTTAGAATGGCAATATTGATCAATGTTGCTGGCCTAGTGGCCTATAGCTATATAAGCAACCATACATGTTGGACAATATTAATACATCTGTATGTATGTACATCTACCCATGGTCCTTAATACATATTTCTAGACATGTTACTGCACAATAAAATAATGTAGCTATATATGTTGTACAATGTATTGTTAAATTTGTCTTACGGTAGATATAAATCAAGTACAATGTATCGGTCTAATTATGGGATCTTCACGATATCATGATATCGGGCATTCTAAAAAGAAAACTTTTGAACTAGTTGGATAAACATCAGTTCTTTACAGGGTTTGCACTGGTAATGTCATAAATGAGATCCTTTTGAGCTTAAATAGGGTCCTTTTGCATAGCTAGAAAACCATTCCTGAAAACAAGTATATGGTCCTTTTCAATTTCTTTACTTCAGAAGGCTATAAGTGATTTCTCGGATGCTGATGTATGATTCCTGGACTTGCACTTTCCCTGTGGAACTTGCCAACATTTAAAGAACTGACCCTGTCTCTGAGTTTGATTAATGGGGGCATGGGCGCTGTCAACATTCTGAGAAAGAAAATTGATAATTAGAATTAATTGTGTATGTTATTGATATTAGTTACTAATTACTTGTCAATAGGTGCCCAAGCTGCCTCTCACGCTAACCAGACACCAAGTCCAGCAGGGGCTGGGTTTGACCAGTCAGGAGGTGCAAGTCAAGGTGGGACGAGAGTCACTCCCGACCTACCTCTAGCTACAAGTAGTGCTGATTCTGGACAGGCTGTGGGATCAGTCACAGCCAATAGGTAAGGTTTAGATCTCTCAGCAATTGTTATTAACTTATATTATTCACCCCTGAAATTTCATAATGAACTATTCCAACTTTTGAATTGGAAGAGTTCAAATGTGTCTTCAGGTGTTAATTTAAGATGATATCCTGCAGCTTTCAGCCAATGTTTGATTATTTAAAAAACAATGAAGTGCTATGTTCATTTTTTCTAGCATCATTTAAAGAGGTTCTCAACTTTACAGAAAAAACATAAGTCAACAGAAATTGTAAAGGACTATGTTCATTTTTCCAGCAAATGTTATGAACTTCCAAAATTCTAAAGATAAGTCCTAAAATAATGCATAAAATAGTTTCAGTTTAAGTCATAAACCTTAATCCACATTATTTTCACATTACAGTCATGTAAAACTAGAGTTTACAGATTTTCCTCCTTGTTCCTTCTCACAAATACAAGCACAGGTAAGTTAAAACTGCAAAAAACTTTGCATCTACATTGTATATGTATTCAATTAGAAAAGTTATAAGATCCAAATTTCAGAAATCTCAAATTGTTCTTCAAACTGTTTAACAGCCACTAGATTATTGACTTTTATCAGTTGATTATATTCAATGTATATGGATGGCCAGATTTGTTAAGTTGGTAATTGTTATGATTGAAGTTTGAATCGGCTTAAACAAGCAGGTCAATTGCAAAAAATATTGGAATGTTGTAATCAGTACATATTTGATAATCTGTAAAATTGTAACAACATGAATGGAATATCATTTAATGCCTGAATACTGATACTGCTGATTATAAAATATCCCTTTTTGATTCAGTCATATGTCTTTAATATAGATAATTTTCATGTAAATTTTAACCATTTTTTTCATACAATTTCATCTTCAATAAAACATTGTTTTGCAGTCTGTAGCACCAGTCCCTTTACCTTCCCAGCCACCCCCTCCCCTTGTACACATGAAACCTCCTGTAGCACCTGTGGGGGGAGGCAAGACGATGCCAGTTCCCATCAACAACGACCCCAACGAAGACTACTGTGCCGTGTGTCAGAACGGTGGTGACTTGTTGTGTTGCGACAAGTGTCCGAAGGTTTTCCATATTAGGTGTCATGTCCCTGAGCTCAACGCTTACCCAAGGTACGTCCAGTAAGTCCATGCATTATCCTTTGGAGAGTACTCCGATCCTTCCTAATTGCTGTTGTTGGATAACTAGGAACTTTTCTAATCACTATAGTATCATACACAGGCCAATATCTATTCCTTGGTCCATTCATAATCACTTTTATGCAAATACAAAGTTTTCTTTACTTCAAGTCATTTAAATTTGAAACAAAATGTGTTAAAAATAATTGGTCCATTTTCTGTGCATTCATATCTATTCTCACCAGAAGTGGACATTCTACTTTATAGGAAGTTGATGTCCAAATAGTAATGCTGAATTTTATAACTGCAGTTTTTGTAAAGGTTTTAAGATTAGTTAGTATTTTGAAGTTACCCGCAACTTTAATTTATCCCTTTGATTTGCCATGGGGAAATTGGTTATTACTTCACTCTAGTGTTGTTCAAATAATCGATTTAGTCAACGTCTGGTTTTGAAAATCGATTAACTGATCCTCGTTTTCCATGATCGATTATAGTTTGACAAATTTAAGTATTAACAAAAAATAAACTCGGATAGTTACTGTTATTACTGCCGACAGCGAGTTGTTCGTTCTTGGGCCTAATAACTTGACCTAACGTCCCACACAAAGACGATGCTGATTGGCTAGCTGGTCCACCCGACAACCAATCGGAACTTGCGTTTCAATAGAAATGCTGCATGGCTCTGTCAGTGCATGACAATATGGCAAACCAGGACATTCAAGAGATTAAACTCTATGACCATACAGGGCTACTGATTTAAACGTTAGGAAGGTATTGTTCCTCCTTAGCTGGATATAAATAAAACACTTTGTGTAAAAGTGTGGGCTATCTTACAAATAAAATGTTAAGTTTGGCGGGGTGTCATCAGGTGAATGCCAATCCATCGCAGCATATCTGAATACGAGATGCAGCTGTCGCAGCATAATGGACATTGCAAACATCATCAATTTTATTTCCAAATACATATTTTTCAATTATTATAAGGTTCTGTCAACATACGTATTGTTTTTGTCTGAATGTTGAGCGTTATTAGTGAAATTCTCTAATGTCTGGTTTCCCCCTGAAACGAAAGTGAAAGTAGATTTCGGAAAGCGAATATAACCTTAAATTACTGAATTTAAGTTCAATTTGATCGATCATTAGTTGATCATCAGTCACTTGATTGGAAGTGATGATCGAGTATAAATTTACAAGTGATTCCCAACACTACGTCACTCATTTTCTTCTGAAACTGCGAGTAAACATGGCTCAATGATTTGGTGTTTTGAAGGACGATACAACTTACGAATGGATTAATTATTTGTTCACAGTGGAGAGTGGAGCTGTAGCTTGTGTGCAAAAGATGACGACTTGTGTCTCGCCCAGAAGGAAAACAAGGAGTTCACCATTGTTCCAGGGACCGGCAAGAGAAAGGCGCCAACGGGGCTCACTGACAACGAAATCAAGGTAGGAAACACAACAAACAGCTCAATCAAGGTAGGAAACACAACTAACAGCTCAATCAAGGTAGGAAACACAACTAACAGCTCAATCAAGGTAGGAAACATGACAGACAATGAACTTATATGGATGTCAATGTATTTTTCAAATAAATTTAGAGGTTAAAGGGTTTTATAACTTATAAACATTTTACATCCAATACTTTTTGATAAAGGAGGATGTTACTTCTTATACCAGATTTAATCTAGCAATAATTCCATGTCTGGAAACGAGCCCACTCATATTTACTGGTACTGCATTTCAGTAGAAAATCCAATGTTATTTCATTGTCCTGTAATAGCACCCCCTCCAACACTTTGATATCAAAATTATGTGTTAACCCCCCCTGTTCTTATTGCAGGATAAGTGCAGTAGTGTATTTCTACTGTTAACTCTGTAAAGAGTAATGTAGCAAAGCGTCCATTCCTGGTGGCTCTGGTTCATCTATTGTCAAAATAAGATGACCAGATGGGCTTTTATGCTACTGTATTTAGGTAATGACATTGCAATGACGAAATACTTTAAAATGATCCTTTATTATCCCCCAGAATATGTGTACACAGATGTCGCATGACCTTAATTATCTGTTGCAAAGACTTCGGCCCTTTTCATGTATCCCTTTCAACTGGTTGATCGGTTTTAAATGTGGCACTTTCAGGTGCAAATCTTGGGGGACCTGCAAATGTAAAATTGTTTATGCAGGCCTTGCAAGGCTTTGTCAAAGCTCGCCTGAAAACAGCATCTCTTTGCTAGGTCCGACCTTATTTCATATACGAACAACTCTGGTCCAACCGATTCAACAGTTTGGATGGCGATAAACAAATGCGTCCCTATATAAAACCCCTGATCAATTTATCAGGACTTAGAGTGCTACTTCCCCTTGATCCTACTGACTCTCATTATTATTTTATATGTTTACCAGGCGTGCGAACGAATACTTCTGGAGCTCTTTTGTCATCAAAAGAGCACTGTGTTTCACGAACCTGTCAGCAAAGCGGTGAGTTTTTTGGATTCTTTTGTTTTTACGATATAGTCTAGATCTGTTGCATTATTTGTTATTTTTCATATATTTATAATTATAAAATACTATATTGCAATGAACTTTATTTGTGAACAAGTTCTGTTTAAGAGCTTTATTCTTAGATCAAGTACCTTAGTTTTTAAAAGACTAGGTGAAAAACTTTCCTTCAAAATTGATTTGTGTCCTACATCTCATAGCGTGTGATACAATTTTCTGTGTTTGTAATATATAAGTCTGTGTTTGGCAAGTATAAGTACAATATGATGTGCTTATAAGATTGATGATGTTGACATGGCTATAAACAGGTCTGTAGATTATATGTTTGTTGTTTTAACAGGTGCCAAACTACTACAAGATCATCACCAACCCTATAGACTTTGGTAAAATCAAATGTAAACTGCAGCGACAGAACTTCAACCACTACAATGTTGTGGACGACTTTATCGCGGACATGCTGCTGGTTTTCAGGAACTGCAGAACTTACAATGATGTAAGTTCTACGACCCAAGTACATAACATCAAAGTAGGAACTGATTCAAATTCTGGCATGGTTAGCTGGGTAGATTCGCCCATCTCCAGCTTGTATCATATAAGTGTCATATTTTCCGGAAGATAATTGAGAATTTGCAACCAGCAATTTAGGTCTGCAATGAAATATTATTTCTGTATATCAATGGATAAGGCAGACATTTATAATGAAATTAACTTCTTTAATAACCATTTGTGATTTATTTGATGTTTATCAGGTTTTGATAATAAGTTGTCTACCTGTAAATTATAATAATACAAGCAAACACAGTAAAGTAGTGTTGGAATGACTGATTTAGCAGCAGTGATAAAACACAGTAGTGTTGGAGTGACTGATTTAGCAGCAGAGATAAAAAACAGGAGTGTTGGAAGGACTGATTTAGCAGCAGGGATAAAACACAGTAGTGTTGGAGTGACTGATTTAGCAGCAGAGATAAAAAACAGGAGTGTTGGAAGGACTGATTTAGCAGCAGAGATAAAAAACAGGAGTGTTGGAAGGACTGATTTAGCAGCAGGGATAAAACACAGTAGTGTTTGAATGACTGATTTAGCAACAGTGATAAAACACAGTCGTGTTGGAATGACTGATTTAGCAGCAGTGATAAAACACCCCGTAAAAAATAAAACGGATAAATCAGGATAAACAAAATGAAAGCAAATATTGTTAATGCAATTCTTAGTGATGGGATCGGCTGCTACCAGTAGTTCGCAAAAAAAATGTGCTTAAAATGATCTATTATGACATACTGCTTCCTTGTTGAAATCATCTAAATGTATGTCAAAGTTGACAATACTTTCCTAGCCAAAGATTAAATATATAAAAGCTTGCAGAAGAAAAATTTAAAAACTTGCTTGTGGCAACTTATCTTCCGGAAAATATGGAACAGTTTATAATCCTTGCTGAACTTCAATGTTGTGGTTTTATTTTCCTTCGAGTCCTTCTTTTAGGGAAGGTGGATGCTCTATAACAATCTCTTTATTTCTTTTTTTATCTTATTATTTTTCATCACCTTTTATTTTGTGTGCATTGGGATGAAGTGCTATTTTGTGTGTGTTTGGTTTTATTTTCATTTTGCTATCATTAACATGTCTTGTTTTTACAAGTGTTTTTGTTTTGTCTTGATAAAAAGTTTCTTTCTGATTTGCTTTCCTTAGTATCTATACAACTGTGATTATGTTTTTAACCAGATTTGTAAACAGATTTTTTTTATTTCTTGCATATATATTAGTGAATTATTTCATGGGATCTTGTCATTTCGACTGTCATCCCGGCTCCTTGCCTATTAAAGAAACTGCCTGAGAACTCTTTGCCATTTCAGAATGATTGCCTATCGTTTGAAAATTCAGCAAGTTTGTAAACAAAATGACTTGGACCCATTCAAATCTTTTGCAGATAAAACAGAAAACATAAAATTCTACAAGCTCTGCAGACAACATTTCTGTTAAAATTTTATTGAATTTATTGGATGATGGAAATCAATAAATGGAAACGTTTTGGGTGAGATTTCTGATAAAAGTTATCCCTGATTTGTGCAGAAATCCCCTGCAACATTTATGGTGAAAATGGTTTTGAAATGAAGTGCCCCAGCCCCCCTACACACTTTTGAAAAAATAATTCACCAAACTTCTTCGGATTCACTGCATGATCATAATTTAACATCATGTCATAACCCTGTTAGTTTACGTGTTTTTTCGTTTTCAAAATAAATAGTTAACAAGCCACAATAACTGTGTTTTATATAATATAAAGAGACAAATGACTTACTTTAGTGGATATTTTGGCAGGAACATTCAGAAAATTGACATGTTTCTGTACCATATCTAACAGTAAGGTTAATCTGTGGCTAATGTGATTGGATAATCAAATAGACTTTATAGTAAAACTAAAAGAAATGCAAATTACCCCATGTGATGCTTTATCACATGGCGTTTCAACATTAATCTATCTCAGCTTTTCCTTGTATCATACTTGACTCGTTTTGATTTGGTATATGTGTTAATGTTCTTTGGATGTATCAGCGAGGTTTGGTCAATAATATAAGGTTCTCACAAATTGATATTGTAACGGTTGTATTGTATTCAGAAATTCAACTTATTACAGTTTTCGTCCGATAGGTCATGGCACTCTTTCAACAATGTCATTAAAATCGTAATTATGAATAGTTGCAAGATATTGTGTCGGTGAATAGGTGAGAATTTTCAAGTTTTCAAAACTTTTATTGACGAACCATAAGTGTTTGCCTTCTCTACCATTTCATTTCGTAATAATTGGAAATTTCGAGGTGAAGTTTTGTTTCATCACTAATAACAACAGATTTATGTCGAAAGGAAGAAAGAACTAGTAATAATATGTTGAAATGGATAATTGTTTTTTGATATACCTCAGATTGAAAGAAAGGTGTTTATCGTTTCGGAAACACGAGTTTCCAATAAAGCTTTGATCTGTTGTAGTATAGTTTTCGCACTTGTACTTACTTGAAAATACCAGTTTATGCAGTTTTGAAGTATTGCAGTGCAGCGTATTACCTCATCAGAAATGTTTAATGTTCAACCTACAAATGGATGTTGGGAAAATAGCTTTGCTGTGATGTTACTATCAACTTGCTCTTGAATTCAGATACATGTATTTGAATCAGTAGTTATATATTCAAAGCAATATATGGAAACGAATTCCTCCCCCCCATAACAGAAAGTGATATCAATACAATAAAAAATTGAAACAGATGTTTGTTGATGAAAGGAAATATTTTGAAAAAAGATATCTTACTTGTTCAAAAAGATTGATGTAAACACTGAGGTTTTGTTGTAAATTTGTAATAATCTCCATTAAGAATACTGTTGTATGATAGTATTTGTTCTATGAATAATGTGATTCTACATACACTGTATTTACTTTTGATATAGTGATGATATTTTTACAATACAGGATGTTTTTTTTTCTTGTAGGCAACCTCTGAGATCTGGAAACATGGTAAGATGGTTGAAGAGGAGTTTGAGAATCTGGTCCATCGCTTCCTGCCCTGCTATGTGGATGTCCTGGATGAAGAGCGGGATCGACCTGTGATGTCAACCTCCCCACAAGATCCCGCTGCCAAAAAGAAGCGATCAGAGGATCCTGCTGTTCATTTCTCATAAGCCATAAAACTATCGGCACACCAGTAGGATATTGTCACGACAGTTGACTATTGAATGCAGTTCATTCAGGCTTCATGGGGCAGGTTGACTGACGGTTTCAGTGATAAGCAGAGAAATGAACTCGTTCAGTGCTAAGTCAGTGGGAACATGTATTTTGTATTAAATTGTTGCAGGCCAGTTAGGAATGTATGTAGAAATTTAAAACCACATACAATTTATGCCAACAATTTCATTGGAATCTCCACTTTTTCCAGGATTAAGAAGTTTTCAGAATATTGTGCTATGCTATATTGTGTGATTACGGGAGACAGCATATAACGATATGTTGGAGGTTTCTACTGTATGAGAGGAAATTACATCCTGGAGACTTGCGTTAAAGCATAGCAACTTTGTTATAACCCGACAATAAATATCTGGGTTGTTTCTCCATCTGTCCCTTTGTCTGCCTGTCTGCATTTATACCAATTTGTCTGAAATACCATACTGCTTTAATTAAACATGGGCTAAAACTGCCTTTTTCCAGTCTACTATTAAAATATATGATTGGGTTCAAACAGACTCTTTCAGCCTGTATGCAGCCTGTAATACAAAATTCTATAACCTCTATCTTGTAAGACCTATGGCTGTCGACATCAGTGTCTTACATCCTACATTATTTTAAACTGCCATTTAATTTTACACATTTCTGATATGCATGATAAAATATTAATATTTTCCAAATTTAAGAATGGCTATTATTATGGTATTGGAGTCATGTAAAGGATATTACACAGCCTTTTAAGAACATATTTTCTTTTTACATTTCGTCAGGATCTGATTTGCTTTCATGTGACTATATATGGAAGCTTATGTAGATGTATCGGTAGTTATTTATTTTGTAGTTTAGTCAGTGTTGGTTTCACAAATAAGATATTGGGACCAAAAACCTGACTTGTCATGTACTGTTTTACCTCTTAGATTATGTTCAGTAAATACCTGATGCGATAGAATTATGAACAGATTATATTGAATGAGTTTTATTGAGACATACGCAATAGCACGAATGTACTAACCATAATTATACCACATTTGTTGTGTTGTGCAAGATGATCTTGATGCATTTTCTTACTTTTACCATATGATATTGGCATTTGTCAACATGCAAAGGAAGTTATAGTAATATTATATATCGGGATAGGCTTTTGGTCTGTTTTTGGTCAGTTTGTAAACATGGTTTATAATTAACTCAGGTTAATCTCAGGACTTTCAGTTGAATCTGGACTTTTAAAAACCTCAAACATTTTCCTGAAATTTGGAGGGTTAAAACATGTCAAATGAAATTTTTCATTTCAAACCCAAGATCAAAGCTCATTTAAAGGGAGTCAAACGTGTACATGCAAAGTCATTTGAAAGTCCTGAATCTAAGTGTCATGTGTTCATTTTCTAGGTTTTCATATGAGTGAGTTAAAAAGAAATTTGATATAACAAATCCTGATTTTTACTTAACTTTATGCATCTGCTGTGTGACCCACATATCTGTGTGATCAGTTGTGATGAAATGTAAACAATGAACCAGATTGTAAATTTTATGAACTATTCTTGTTGAATGTAATATGTTTATACAACACTTTATGATTAAGTGTAGTGATGTTGACTAAAAATTGCCGAAATGACCCACTGCTCTCAAATTCCAGGATTTTCCCTGAAGTGCCATGTAATTTTAACACCATGATCAGTGTTTTTAAATAAGATACAACAGGTGGCTAAGTGATTGTCAAAAACCTATTTTTTTGCCTACTATTATTGAGATTTTGCTTATACATTTGTATAAAAAAAACTTGATCTTCTTCAATGACCATTTATTTGTTATTATGTTTGCATAAAAATTGACTAAAAAATCAAAATGTTCATAGAAGTTTTCTATTTTTGGCAACATATTTCATAGTCTAAGAAATGTTGTTGGGTCTCATGGTTTGCCAGTCTGTTCTATGTACAAAATGTATAAAGATTATCAATGGGAGATGAGATTAATCTAAGCGAAATTTGGTTAGAGTTTAAATAATGATGTGTGTATACAATGTGTATGCCTGTCGGAATTAATAGTGCTAGCTCAGATGTCGCAGAGTTTGGACAGTAAAAGAATGTGAGACAAATCTTATTTATAAACTAATATAAGTTATAGAGTGATTTTGATTGCCAGTCCAAACTTTTTTTAATATAGCTTATCTCATGGAAGGACAATCTGATCTGTCCTGTTAGTTAACTTTATTATAATGTAATTTGTCTGCATACATATTAAATAATGTTTTTAATATTTCATGAACAAGGTTAATAGATCATTGGGAGTGGATATATAGCATTGGTGAAATCTTAAAAACCACATTGATTTAACTTCATTTTGTCAGTAAAAAGTAAAAAAATGATTTAACTTCATTTGGTTAAAAAAAAAAAAAAAAATGATTTAACTTCATTTGGTCAGTAAAAAATAAAAAAAGAATGCCTTGTGATATATATGCAGGGTTGTGTACCTTAGTGGTACAACCATTGAAACCAGTCTGCATGGCACATCATACTTTATTTTAAAGGACTACCATCAATGTATTCCATACTGCAAAGATGCATGTACAACCACATACATGTACGATATTTGACACACAAGGTTGTTGATGGAAACATACTTATTAAGGATATTTTTCCCCACATAGAATATGGGTACAACTGTATACTTGGAATCTTTGACAAAGAAAATTATTTGCCCTTTATCTGTGAATCCAATTTTCCAGTGTGACTTTGACATTCACGGTGTCAGTGGAAATGTATGATAATATAAAGACATGTTCTATTATTCCTTGTTAAGATTAAGATGGAAAGGGAAAGAGAGAAAATTCAGTTAAAATGAATATTTTTTCCAGTAGAATAAAATTTGTTTGGCAATATGTATCCTCAATAATCAAATGTGTGCAAGGAAAATTGTCTTACCATTATAGAAATGATGCATCTGTTCATATGAATTTATGAAATGTATAAAGGAATAACAAAAATAACCCTGTGATGTATGAACTATTTCATTATGTGTTCTGTATTAGATGAATAGTGATAGTGTATGGCTGTGTGTTGATGCTGTCGCTGTAGATTTATGTAACTGTGTTCGTGATGTATGTGTATTGATGCTGTCGTACCAACCGTGACTCGTATTGATGCTGTCGTACCAACCGTGACGTTGAATGTCCATTGATGTTGATGTATGGCGTTCTGAAGGCATTTACATAATTTCTGTGGACAATTGTGTAGTACAAGATTAAAATGTTCAATGTGTTCTGTAAATATTGCAATGTGAAGGGGAAAATGTTGTGACAAATTAGCAAATCTTAATGAATTATTTTGATACTTAGCTCATGCAATTGCATGTTCCATGACTCATGATTGATAAAAAAGTCAAAAGATTATTTTGGCGGTGTTATGTTTCGTTTTTACTCCATACAGATGTACGACAGATCATACTTTATATTTCACTTTGATGATTGGATTTAATGTAGTGATTGCATTAAAAGTACATAAATTTCGAAACAAGAAAGAAAGCCAAAACAAAATTGCTACTCTTTGGTGCATCAAGACCAGTAAACAAGCCTAGTGAATCAACAATCTTGACTTAATCTTTTTATGTCACGAACCAGGTGATGTTGCAGCCATGACCTTTAGCTTACAGCTTCAGCAGCCGTGGTATAATCTTTACGTTCTGGATGACCAATTGCTGCAGGTCGATTCAGGTGAAATTGGTGTCGGAACAACTTGAAGCAATTGTTGATTTTGCAACCACGACATTCGTCCTCCAGAACACGCAGCTGTCTTACGCTTTGGAAATTTTACTAACCTCTAACGTTTCCAAAGGAACCGTTGACTAAGTTTGGTATTCAGAGCCACCGAACGAATACAATTTAAAAAATAGTAATACAGTTCTGGGAACCATGGAACGTCGGAATAAGAAAGGAAGACATCATCCAAAAAATGCTGAAGGCGGAACCAAAGAGCGTTCTCAAAAGCAACACATTTCGTGCATCACATGTGGTATCCGTTATAATGACTCGATTCCAGAATTTATTTTTACATGTCAACATAGACCTAAGATGCAGTGAATACTAATTTTGCTTATGAATGACATTGGAATTTCGTAGCTTGAATTCAGGACAAAAAAAATACCGTTACATTCTTCAACGTAGAGTTTCTAGTGGTAGAAGCTACGATACAATTTCAACGTAGATTAAAGAAGAACCTAAGTGAAAAAACACTTTTCAAAGAGTTGTGGTGGTTAAGTGGCCATCATTGCCTCACGGACGATAACTGTCAAACAAAAGGAGTGCTGAGGGCCTAAGTCATTATTGGAGCCCACAAATTTATATCCAGAAATACGATCAAATTTACGATCGTAGCCACAGGGTTGTGGGTTCGAAGCCTTCGTGGGGCAGTCGTCTGGTATTAGCCGCAGCCGCTGGCTTTTCTCCACCACCACTTCCTTACTTGCCTTAAAGGCCAGTGATGGGGTATCAAAGGGAGACAACTTGCGAAAATGAATGAATATGTAAAACTTTGGCTGCCTTCACTTCAGAGAAAGATTTTCATCAAATTCAGGGTTTTCAAAACAATATTTGATACAGATTTTGTCATGGCTACAGAGTTTTTGTGAAGAATCTTAATTATGGTTATCATTTTCTTTGCAAAAAAATAATTAGGTAATATTCCTAATGTAATATATTGGAGGCTGTCAATCAAATTTGAAATTTGAATTTGACCCACAGTAAGTTGTTGCCGAAAGTTTACAACTGTGTTGTTGCCATGGCCCTAGCTACGCATGCTGAGTAAACAAAAGTCCCTACCTTATCAACATTTGGCGGCAATGACCAGAAACCAGATCCCTTAGGCACATGCACATGTATGTTAATCCAATTATCACAGTCAATAACTGATAACAAGACAGAACCACACTGCCTAAACACATAAATAGTAATTTATTCAAAGATATGACCCATATATCCAATACCACCAGGATTTGTAAATCATAATATACAAGATAGATCACAGGCATTCTATACTTCTGCTGATATCACACAGATTCCTCCTTCTTTGTCAGGTTTGGTTCCATAAATGACCCATGTATGGGACACCACCTGGATTAGGATACCACCTCCTCACTTACTGTATTACATCGTATTATTATCGTGTATGGCTATATTTCTCTAGTGCTTGCTTTTTCCTTTGTAAATAGCGAGCATCTTTCCAAAGCTGTCGGTGTAATAACATTACCCAAAACTTCTTATAAACTTCTTTCCTGCTATGATGATTTCGTGCATGATGGTTGGTTCCCACCACAGTTGTCTGTAATTTCCATCTGTAACGCAAGGCTGACTAAAATAATGATGACACTCAGTTGACAATGTATCTTTTTCAACAATACATTCCTCATACTCTCCTATTTCAAAAAGGCTGCTGCTTGCTTCACATTTCTCTGGATTTTCATCAAAGTTGGTCATTGTTGCTTTACATCGATTCTCAAATTCGTCAGTATCAAACCCTATATAAACCTTCTCTTCTAAATCCGTATCAGTAAAATGGGTTGGGGGAATCCTTCCCTCCAAACACCCCAATGCAGGAATCCCAGTGTGACCAGTCGGTATTAGGTCAAGGACTTCCTGTTGCATCATTATGGGTGTGAGAGAAGGGTATCAAATTCTCTTTGATGGTGAGTGCTCCGGAACTTAATTATAGGTGAGGTACATTTTGGGGTATTATTTGTATATTTGTCTTCAAAAAGTAATAAGTTAATTAATAACTGTCTGATAGAAAATAAAAATACACACACAAAATGAATTGTAACGATATTAAAATGCTGATCGAATAAGTATACAAATACATATATTTGTCATTGGTGATTCCAATAGTAAATATAAGATAAAATCCTTTTTGTTGCACCACATTAACCTATATATTTGAACTATTCTATTACAATGCATAGGGACTGTACAAGGTAAAATAATATGTATTTATGAATAATTAATAGTTGACTGGGAAAGACATTCGTTGATATTTGATAGATGATATATGTATGTATTGATACAAAAGAGTTGCGTGTAATATGTATGACTCGTGGTTTTATCAGATATAATGACAAATAGACCTTTATAGGTAGCATCCTGGTTATCAATACAAATGGTACTAGTCGAATATATATAGTCACTAAGCTACTAAGTCACATTACAATAGAAACTTCAAGAAAGAATGGCAGCTGAAAGAAAACGTGCTTCAAGTTTTAAGATTGAAATTCCTTGTGACACCAGCAAAAAGCAAGTATATTGTCAAAAATACACGAAGTGAAGCAGGTGCTGTACAGACAACTGAATCGTCAAGTGAACAATGGTGACATCTTGGACCACGTGTTGGACGCCTTTATTGAGCAGCACAAGTGCCATTTGGATACCGTACGAAGAAATACAAACATGGCTACCTTTCTACAAGTGCCTAAAAGAATGTTTATCAAAACGTGTTTATGACAGCAGAATCATCATTATAAAAGTTAGTGGAGGCCACTGAAAACCATGCTCGACTCTGTGATGGCAACATCAGCAAGAACACTTTGTTTAGTAAAGGACATGTTGCTGTAGTGCGACTCAATCGTCAAAAAGACAAAAACAGATTTTGGTCGTCATCTCCATACCTGCCAAACAACGAATATCTTGTCAACCATAGAGTGATTCATGGATTTGTGTGTAGTAATATATGCTTCCTGTCCAATTACAAGGTTTTGTAAAGCTTCAAATATTGGACACATAAATAAAGAGAAGAGAGATTACATGTTTCGGTTATATAAGGATTACATAGAATCAGAATACAGGGACAGCATTGAGTGTACGACAACCTTCATGGTATCGATATCATGACGGATTAGCATGGTTGGAGAAAAAATGCAAAAGATTCCAGCGTTGTGGCTATTGGAGAACAAACACAAAGTACTGGAGTGTATCCATGTGACTAAGTCTGACATTGCGTCACAAAGACGAGCGGTTCGGCACTGAAAAACTTATCAATATTTTGATTCCAGGATGTAACTATCAATATTCACACACATGAAATGAATTTGATAATCAGCCACTTACGGTCAATCAGAATGATGCATGGCATGCGGTCAAATATTTGAAAAAGGCGCTGTAAACCATTATTAATGTGCCGGCATACCTGAGAGGAAAAACATGGTCCGAAGAACTAGTTGACAAAGTGCAACCAAGGTGTACTCATTTCCATTGGGCCATGACAAATTGTGAAAACGACCAACCAAAACTGCAGAAAGCTTTAGTGAATGCTACACAACATTATCAAAATGTACATGGTACATCCTACAGCTCGATATCAAAAGGAGCAAAAGTATAACCGTCCGTGACTCGCCTGAGGAGTAAAATGGCAGAAAAAAATGCTTCTCAGAGTTGTAACAAATTCTGCTGTGTACAAGCACCGCGAAAATTACGTACTTGCCAGAAATACATATTACGTGGAAAGTTTCAACAACACCATGAACATTTTTCAGGACAATAGAATCAGTTTCAGTGACAGTCAGTACCTGGCAAGTTCTCAACTTGCAGTCTGTCACTGGAATGAGAATGTTGACAGACTCTTCACCTCAGTTTAGAATCCCCGTAGGGCGGAGGCACCACGTAGTAGAAAAGGAAAGAAAAATTATAAAGCACCAACCTATCATTACAGGGATGCTATTCGGAAGAGATTGATCAATAATATCTTTCAGTGATTTATCATTTACTGATATTAACACAGACAAAATGAAACTGTTTTAATACAGAAAAGTGTTCGAATTTTTGATTTAAAAAACAGTCAGGAACACGAAACCTTCATGTGAGTAAAAATACTTGTTCACACAATCAGTAAGTGATGCAGTATTTTTGTATATATTTGTATGCAACATTGAAGCTAAGCGTTCGATAGGTACATTGTTCAAACCTATTGGTGCTGACAGCATTTCACTACCGATTCTACAAGTTCAACAATTTCTACATCTCAGTTTTCAACAATGAAATATTGCAATATGTTCAAAATGAGAGTTCACATGCCATTGTAAGCAATTGTCGGAAATGATGTCGGAGCAACCAGTAATTGATGACTAGAATCACTTCACTTTCTTGTTGAGGCTTTTGCGATTGTATTCGTAACCGGTGGCAAAACTTCTAACAGCGAAACTATAGACGACGTATTAATCTGTCTTATATCTGAAGTCGACTTTGTGCAGAGAAGAAGAACACGGGAGTAGATTTACATTCCCTTTATCGGATATCGAAATTGGACGAAAAATACCTACAAAATGGCTTATTTAAATTCCTTAACAAAACGTTTCTAAATTTAACCAGATTTCTTACTTGGTTTTGGTGCGCCGCCCTTATAAACTTATTAAAAGTCCAAAGGACTTCTATAGAAACATGAATCTGCCAAAAATGTCCCGAATGACTTATTGTATACCACGACTCCTCGTGCGAAACTCGCATAATAGCTAAATGATTTGATCTTCCACACTTCATTGGTTCATTGCTGATTTTGGCGAGGAACAAGCTACACCCGTTTAACCTACTTAGGGAAAGACAACTCGCACGAACTATTATTATGACAACGTCACCACTGTTATCACTTCATACGCCTTTGATACGACTAAGATTTACAGTACGAAAGTGTGTTTGGAAAGTGATAAATCACGGAAGGAATTTTGAAAATCAAGGAAGATGAAAAACTTACCCTTAGGTTGAGAATTCTCTATACAATTCACGGGAGTAATATTCAATTAATCAATCTTTTGTCTCTAAAACTAGCAAACAGATGTCGCTATTGTGTCAAGTCAAACTGCATTGAGTAACGTCAACTATGAGAAGAAGATTCGAAACACCACGGGCGGGATTGGGGGACTCCTCTTTAGCCCGTGCAGGTTTGAAACATAGGGTTGCTGATCATAAACGGTGCCTTATTTTCCCCTTCCCGTCCTGCAGAATAGGTTGCTTTCTTCGGTGTCTTATACTTCAGGGACAACGAAGAAAAACCCAATTGGTCTGGTATCCCGATTGAAACACCTGAGATCATTATCTTTTCTTGCATACCTGCTACCTGCTCTTTCTTTTGTTGGCGTCTCACAAAGCATCCTTTCCCGTCTTCATATGACCTTAGAGACATTAACCCTTAACCTATAAAAACACACTGTCTTTCTAAAGATTCTTAGTAATATAAACCTCATGTTTTATCAACTTTAGAATTTTGACCTCGGGATGAGATTCCAATAAATCTGTCCCAAGAGGGAAAAATATCAATATTAAATTTGAAGAATATTTCAGCATTGCTGCTACACCACTTCAGTGGTACTAAAGGTCAAGAGAATGAAAACACAAGGTTGAATGTACCGAAATAGGTGTAAAGAATAGCAAAAGGGAAATGTGTGTATAAAACCCTTTATCACGTACAAAACAGGAAAAACTCCAGAAATGTTAATAGTTCACACATTCGGAAACAACTTTTTATGCTATACACTGGTTAACCTTGTCTGAGAATTGGTTGTTTAGGGTTTAATGCCTCGCAGGAGCCAAGGTCAGATGAGGACGGCCGTGTCTGAGGACTTGATAGCTTCAATTTAAAAGGATTCCGGAAAATATCATCTCGTAGCAGTCGTAGCCAAATTATCGGACAGTTAGCTCAATTTTGCGCCGGAAAAGAAATTATGTTCAGTATATATTTATTTTGGAATTCCCGGTCTTAACCAAAGACATCACATCATGTCAACTGAGCTTAATTGTATTACTGATAACGGCTTCCTGCACATAATAGACTTTATTGTAATACAACGTATTCACCTTATTATATGTGTCGTTGCTGACATCCGATGTAGAAAGCCTCCCACAAACCATTGTCGTAGTGATTAAGACTAGGAGGTACGGAAAGACACGTAATTGTATGACGCGACTTATTGCTTTACCTATCTCATTAAGCTGTAACGCAACCTTATATAACATAGTCTCCCTTTTTTGTCGTCTTAATGTTTTCAATAACAAGATGTTTTTTTCTCAGATATACTGGTAACCTTAGAATGTTAATGTTTGTATCTCATGTACGCTGGTTCTCCATAACATCATGGATGACTGTCGGACAATTATTAACGTTTGTGTTTAAATGGTTATTGCTTTGAGTTCATTTTTATGCTGTTTAAAAACTAGTTTCAGAGCACTATCTTGAAACCCACGTTTTTCCAAAATATAATGTGTCCCCTCAAAATTCCAAACGAATTCGGATTTGTGTTGCTATTATTTCGGTTATACTTAATAAGAAAAAGGCAGAAAGGATTCGGAAACAAACAACGTCTTTTTAACAATGAAATCGACTACTGTAAAATGCTTCATTCGCGGTATTCCATTGTCACGGATGTAAAAGATCTTGCTAAATATGTAAATTTCGCGATACATTTTTTCACGGATTTTAGGTCTAGTGACTATGGCGCTAAGTAATGTGCATATAATTTGCTTAACAATTGGAAACCTAGACATGTCACACAAGGGAGAATGCATGACTTGATCCTTTAAATAGAAGGATATTGTTGTTAACAGCCTGGCAGTCCATTTAACCAGTAGGAAGTGTATTCATACATTATATCATGCTGATCCCATTATTCAAGACATAAAATTCCAAATATATCTTATTCTAAATTCAGAGGCCGACTACGGTCTTAAGAGCCTAGACATAACTCAAGAGGATAATAAAAGCTCTGGATCCGAACGAACGATTGTTTGCTGGATGTGTATTACTGAAATCGATAGTAATAGTTGTCGGTAGAATATATTTAGAAAGTAACCTTTTTTATTTCGTTATGCTCATTTACAAATATAACTGTTTAAAAACTTATTTTTGCACACGTTAAGGGCCACCGTTAGATGTATATATATATTCAAAATGATCTATTCAGTACTATTGCCTCCCATGTTTTGTCGAACACGTGATGTCAGTTTTGAGACAGGGTTTGGAAGAATGGGGATTATTAAGAGTCACTCGTGTCAATGTATTTTTAAAAAAAAATATGTTAAGGAAAATGGGAATTGAAATAAAACTTTGTTTATTTAACTAGCATCATTTTTGTTCCAAAACGGGTTGAGTAAGAATTGTCTTTCCTTTTAAAAGATTGTACCTATAATTTCATTTAATTAAGTTTTATTGATGCGATAATACTGTCAGTTGTCTGTTCGTCCGCCAACTATTGATCGGTGTTAACTTTTTCCTTAAACGTTTTCTTAAAATCCATAAGGCGTGGACAATGTGTATTTGATTTGACTTTCTTGGGCAAAAGGCTACCACATGACAAGAATAAACATTTCCCGAGAAAGATGTTCCTTATTTCTATGGTAGTATCAGATAAGTTTTCCAGTCTGCCACTTGGAAGCATATTGGCGATTCTAGAAGGTTCTTCCTGAGTTTTTCAAATAGTCGCAGATCATTGATATTTGTTCGGGCTGAGGTTTAGAGGCATTGGCTGTTCTGGGAAAATGTTCCGGATGTTTCTGGACGACACCAAAATCTGTCAGTGCCTCTGGAAAATCGTATTTGATAAATGTTAACACATGCAGCAGAATGCTGTGGAGACTAAATGATTACCACAAGAATCCACAATGTTTATATAAATCCATGGGTATATCCTATACGGGGTCGTTTAGTTACATGATATATTTAGCTATAATTAACAGACAACAGTTGAGTTCGAGCAATAACACTTGCAATCTGCCATTTTATTTTAATTCATTTTTTTTTCCATCAACACAATGTACAATACAAGACATGGAATATTCATCATACTTCTCTGCTAGTAAATGTACAGTGTATACAAATGATTCAATATACACGGATTCCTGTTTAGTTAATAACATTAAGAAAGAAAACGATTAAAACAAAGATGAAAAAATGAAAAGTAAAGATGAAATTTAATATAAAAATATTTTTGCTGCAAAAGAGTAAACCACAAAGTACCATAATTTGCCATTTCCTCCCTTGTCATTGCAGATTCGGGAACTTTTTGTTTTGATATGAGGCGATCAATACAAGACCTAGGCAGATTTTCTTCTTTATTTCCTGCGTATTAGATATAAAAAAAAAGATCAACCGTTCAATGGCACCAGCAGGAAATTCCAACCTTTTCTTTTTCTCTCCAACCCGCTTCTACGTNCCCCCCCCCCCCCCCCCACACGCACACGCACCAAAACCCCCTTACATTAGCCCTCCAATCCTCCAACTAATATACTATATTTGCGATAAACGTCTAGATTACATACACTTAAAGGCACAGTGTTAGGTATACGAAGACCACCTATAATTATTAATTAATTTAACGATCTAATGTTTTCTCCTGTTCATGTTAGAAGAGTTTATTTAATGATGAAATCAAAAAAAGTTTCTAATATCATATGTTTATCTATGTGAATATATTTGCGCTTTTTACGATTATTTTATGACGTTTTTACTTTTACATTGAGTGGAGTGTTAGAATAGCACAGATAAATGTTAATGGAAGCGGTCTCCGTATTGAGAAAATAAAAGGGTTTCTGCAATTGTAAGGATATAGGGGTGCTGAGACAGATATCTATGAAGTAATAGAACAAGGTCAACAAATAAGGATAAACTATGGAAAAAAGAACTAAGGCAACGTTAATATGGTAAGATATCTTGAGACTCGAGAATCATCTTGACAAAAAAAAAAAAAAAAATATCCTTAAGGATAAGCATTTCCTGTAACATATCTGGCATCCTCGCATACTATCGCCAATTCAGGAAGCTTCCGTCTGAAAGTCACACACACTTAAGAGCGCGTATATATATTTTATCAATGTATATTATACATTAGTTATATATTTCTGATTGAATTTGAAATGAAGCAGTTCAATTTCATTATTATTTATGCTTCACTCGAAATATATGTATGTTTTTATATATATGAAAAAGATATTGTATTTTTTTTCATATTTATGCACCATTTATAAAAGACCTAAATACACATTTCTGTAATTTTGTCATACAAGCAATGCACATGTAGTGTTTTTCTTATTTTTCTTTTTCTTATATAACTTCTTGTACTGTATCATTGCAGGGATATTTGACGGAAAACTTGCGGAGAATGCCACATTCGGTACAGGGAATGCTTGCACTGACGGGGCACATAATTTCGATTTTTTCTTTGTGAGGTTATTGGAGTCTTTTGTTTTAATGTCTACTCTGTTCTAGCTACGTTTCTGGATTTTGGACTGAGAATGTTGATTTACCCTTCTGTATTGAAACTATGAATATGTTCCATTCTACTAGAACAAAAATGTAAAAAATAGTTTAGGCACCCCAAAGGGCTATTACGAATTGTTCAGTGAACAATTTGATATAATCTGCTGTTGACCCTGTAATTAATTTGTAAAAAATGTTCAAAGATTATTTTTGAAGCGTGCGCTTGGTCAATAAATCGGCTAGTAGTTACGTTCTTTGATAAATAACACAGATACGAAAAACAAGGCAAGTGTAAAATTATCAGGAATCATTTTTCGAATTAATACCATATTATGGAGACAAATAAATATAGAGAATTGTAATTAATTAGATTAATTAAAATGGTATTTACATATATTACATAATTATATATTTAATGAACAGAAGATAAGCAGGTTTTACAAGCGGTAGATTCTGTGGAAAATATACATAGCACATTGAACAATATAACTTGCTATGTGTATTTTCCAGTATCTACCTCTAGTAAAACCTGTTTTTAACTTACGCATAGCCCGACTTTAGGTGTCGTAAATTTTCATGAAATAATTTTCTTAACTGACCATGTTATTTTTAACTAAATGGCATTGCTTTACGTATATCTTTTTGCGGTTATCTTATTTTTGCGCTTTTCTCTCTTTATATATTGAGCTAGATTATGATTGCGCTACAGTAACTGAAATATCCGTATATTGTTTTCCATACAGATATTGTGGGTATGTCAATGTATCGAAGCTTATTTGTTAAAATTCGCATTGTGCTGAAATTTGAGTCCGCTAAAATGAATATGTTTACAGTATGCTACTAAATCATTTCAATTTAAAACAAGAGATGCATGATACGAATGATTGTAATACTGCTAATTGGCGGGAACACATTTTCCCTTGTGTTTATGAAACATTTGTAATATTGCTAATAGGCGGGAACACATTTTCCCTTGTTTTTATGAAACATTTGTAATACTAAATCGCTTTTATTGAACTACTGGGAATTGTCCAGAAGTGTTGGCGCTCTTTTAACACATACCCTGAAATAAGAAATTAAATTGGTTACGTTCGAAAGTAACGTGTTAATGTACGTATTGTAACATTGTATTTTATGTTGTAGGTAATGTATTGAAAGACAATTAAAGCTGCTGGCTGAAGGATCTAGAGTTGAGCGTTTTCTAAATAAAAGCAAGACTATTACACAAGGCACGGGCAGATTTGTCAGCTTGCTTACATTTACATAACAGTCCAATCTTTACGTGGCTACATTACTCTTCACCAAACAATAAAGTATATAAACAACACTCAAAAAGTATCAAGATGTCCATTCATGATCATATAAAACACGATCATTTTGGACGCAATCATCTGGTTACATAATTCAACTCGTTGTTTCACATGTTATCATTGTAATGTCTCCCGAAATAAATTTCTACGTCACAACTTTTCTTTCTTCTGTTGATACGCTGTGTTTTACAAGTTTGTCCTTGTTGTCATGACAACAGGTCTCGGAGCTGATGCCACTTTCCTTACTGTTCTGACTAGTCTGACTCATAACACTATGCTTCTCGTCCAAAGTGGTTTCCCTGACGTCACCAGATTGCCGGTCATCCGCGTGAGCGTTGCTGACGTAAGACATTGCACTGAGCTGTCGACACTGTTTTCCAGACTGAGCAATGCTTTCCTGGTATTCCAGCATCTCATCTTCGTCCTCGTAGGCCGAATCTCTATTGTTGTTTTTCAGCAGTATGTAACCCTCATGTCGAGAGGACAAACTTCGACGTTTGCACGGAGATAATCTGAAGTCTTTTGGTGAACACGGTAACTCAATTAGGCTGTTTGATTTATAAGAGGGCATATGTCCCTCTAGATCTAACGAGTTACGCCAAAGAAATGATAGGTGGGATGACTTTCTCCATTCATTGATGTGTGATGTTTTGTCATGTGAATCACTTTGTACCGGAAGCCGTAAAATTGGTTTTGTTTCAAAACTCTGTACATTTGGTGCAGAATTACCATGCTGAAGTTTCCCTGTATCTATATCCGTGACTGCATTTCTGAGTTTTTCTTTGTTTTGGCGGTATTTAGCAAACAATTCTTGAGCAGTTATATCCTTCTTCACAGTATCCTCCCTTTGAAATGAGTGTTCCATATCACATTCCCGCGCACTTTCAAGCACCGTCTCGATATCGAGCCCGTCTCCACCAGTAGCAGACGTCCCACGGGTCGCACTGGGACGGCGCCGTGTGTACCTCTTTTTATAGCTAGCTCGTGGCTCGTCACCCAGTGTTGAATCATCTGATCCACTTTTCACATCCTTCCGGTCAAAGTGAATGACTATTTGTGATTCTGATCCCGCTAATCCGACTGAAAGTCGCCTTTTCTGGTCTCCGCCGTCCATGTTTTCTATCGCATCTTTACAAGGCGAAGAATCACGGCGCATGAATAATCTCGCGGTGGACGTGACTTTGTCCTCGCTTGATATGGACATACCACCCAGTAAACTGTCGCCGGATTGTTTCCGGAAGTATTTTCCATCGATACCATGTGGGTTGAGAAGTCCATCCGGGCTACTAACACCGCTGTAAGAATTGCTACAACTGCTTCGCTTTTCCGTACTCATCGGACTGTGCAGCTGTAAGTGTCTCCATGACGACCCACAGCCTATTGATACACGCCTACTATTCAGGCTGGAAAGACTTCTTGATATGGACGATTCTTCAATCCGTTTGCATAATTTGACACAGTCTCGTTTAAATTGTTTTGTGAATATTGCATACAGGAAAGGATTAGCACAGCTGTTGAGCGGCAAGACGAATATAGTTAATATTTTAGCCTCGTTTAGGCTTATCAGTTCATACCCGAAGGCAGCTGTTGCTGAGAACAGTATGATAGGCGACCAACAGAGAAAGTCTGTGAAGATTAGAATGGCCATTCGCTTGGCTACTCGGAAGTCCTTTGTGTTCCACGCTTGGGAGCCCAAAATGGAGATATAGATTTTGATGTAGCAGGCTATGATAGCGATGAATGACACGGCGTTGAATATCATTATGAAACAGACGTAGGCTGTAAAATATAAAACGAACGAATAAATTAAGTTTGTATCTTCAATTATACCTAAAACAGAACAATGCATATTAAATCATCAACTCTCCTGGAGATTTTTTTATCTATTGTAAACCACATTATGTAGGCTTAAAAGGAAATAAAACAAAGAAAAAGTAAAAACCGTATATACTGTTAACGGTTATATTTTACCGGTAATCCTATTTTTAAGCTGATATTTATTTTTCATTGCATATATATAGATAATGCGAGTGCGCCATTTCATCGATGCACTAGCGTTAAACTTCGACAATTCGCTAAAAATTGAGTGCGCAAAAATAAATACGTTTACAGTATATATAATAATTCCAGAGCATCTATACACAAGAGCAGAATTGGTACCCTTAAAAGTAATCAATTTAGGCACTTTGTGAATCAGTGGAAAAACTTACCTAACGACTCTCTTTCACTTGTTTCAAAAGGAAGACATATTGCAAATTTTCGATAGTCGCTGATTTCGAATAGCGGCAGACTGGCAACACCTATGCAGAAAATCCATCCTCCCGTCATTACAACTCCTGTAAATACAGATGTCAACGGTACTTCATAACTCGTGTCGTCATCAGGTTATTTAAGGATTAAAAGACTTCGTTCAATATTTATGATGGTATAAAACACAGCTCTGTTCAAACATATTCCTTGATACACAGTAGCGCATCTTGGAGAACCATTATACAATGTACTTGTTACCATAGAAAACACGATCTTCTTCCCGCTAAGGGAACAAGATCATGTTTATTATGGTAACAAGTTCCGTCAGAATCGGCGAACGTCAATCGCAAAACATTCGGTAATTTCCGTCATAACTTGAATTTTACGACACGTCGTGATTGGCCTCGATCCGATTACTCAAATATTTGACGGAAAGACCCGAACAGTTTCTGATTGGAAAAAGATATTCACTTGTAGTGGTACTGTAATGAGATCATATTAACGTCATTTTTGGTTGGTAGGTTTGTCAGTGCGGTACAAAAAGATTAACATTTTGTACTAATGTACGTTTACACACGGTTTCTCTGTAACCAATATTGTCTTAGTGAACTGGTATGTTATATTTAATTACTTGAGTTAGATTAGCTTCTCCACGAAAACCACAAAAATGAATACATCGCGAAAGCAAGTACACAGCTTTACACGTTGTTCACTACATTTTGATATTTAAATACATACACGTGGCAGGTATATTCTCAACATTGGTTAATGGAATAGGACATAAGTCGTATCAGCCAAGATCAATATAAAGAACAGACGTGTGTTGAGGGTAGAACTTTACATAGATGGTTTGTTTACTGAAGTGATTCACATTTCCTTTAGGCGTTATATAATCTCAATATAAACCAAATTAAATATTTATTTTTAGATATGCCCCAAAATAAAAGGGATCCTTACCAAAATGTGAGTAGTTTATATATTGTCACCCTGTCATGTGAAATATGTAATCGAATCAGATCACCCTTTTTGCTGTATTTTTTCATATGTTTCAGAACACTGGACTGTGATATTTAGGCAGTCGATATTTGAAGTGTAAAACCCGACTTTAATGAACAGCATTGTATTTACCTGCAGATTTGAGTGTTAGTCGCTTATTGAACTGGAGAGCGTGTGAAATGGCATAGTAACGTTCCACGGTAATCACTGTCAAGGTAAACACACTCAGCTCACTGGAGAACACGCCGAGAAAACCCGCCACTAGGCATCCAGGACTCATCTGCCAGCGGATAGCGTACTGCTGGAACTCGCCTATGGAAAAGAGAATCGAACACACACTAAAAAGTGAGTAAGTAAGTTTGGAAACATACTGCCTGCTGCTTAAAATCACAGTAGAGATGAATTGCTTCAATGCAGAGATCCTGATTGACTTTTCCCCATAATATGTACTGTTTACTTACTTATGCAGTCAGCGAAGTCAATAATTTGAATAAAAAATAATCAAGCATGAAACTGGTTCAGGGGGAAGAACTCTTACATGTACCTGCACGTATCGTTTTTTACTTATAAGATTTAGCTCCCTTCACTCAATATGTTGCCTTTTGGACTGAAGGCACATAGGTCGTCTCTTACGATGCCCAGGGTTATTTTGAAATATATTATACTTTACGAGAGACAACATCAGGAAGAAATGCTGAGGGTGGATGTGCAATAAATAAAAAGCAGATGTTTCCATCAGAAAGCATCCCTGCAGGTTGTGGATCGAGAAAAGAATTCACCTGTTGTTACCCAACCAATGTATCGTAAGAGGCGACTAATGTGGGAACCCACTGCAGAATAGGAGATTTACATTTGTGCCCTCTACTTGGGGACTCGAAAGCGACCAAAATAATTCTGCTGCACCCATGGCAATACTTGGCCGGGACATACCAAAGTCCTTAAACATGGTAGTTATTATTCCCTGTTTAATGTTCAGCATTATGGGCAGTGACAAGTCAGTATAATGTGACCGGACGGAATGCTGTGCTTGGTGCCTTCGGCGTGGTATTTCAGTGAGATAGCACTATAAAGTCGGCATCAGATCTGCGCTGTCACAAGGTAAAAGTGCACTAAAATACCCTGTCTCCGACAAACTTACACACATGCACGATTACACAACACACATGCACGCAAGTCCTTAAAGGACCATAGCTGTTGATAGGACGTTAAACAATATAAAACCAAACCAAACCAAACCATCAGAAAGGATGTAGTGCACTGGAATCTTGAAAGCAAGAGAAAGAGGAGAAGACCAGAAATAACATGGCGTTGAATGATGGAAACGGTACTAGAAGACACGAATCACAGCTATTTAGCTACCTCGAAATTCCAAGTGTTACGACCACTTTCATTCTCGGCTACCCTAGACTATGTCATGACAAAATCGAAGGGTCGCAAATAGCTATTTTATTGGTTTCAGGAAAAACGGACCACTCTCTATGCTAATATCTGTCCTTTGAAGATCACAGAGGAGCGACACTCGACTTCAAAACTGCCGCGCGATTCTTTTGATATCAACAAGTCTACTTTTAACATCTACAAGGTGGCGCATACAGGGTTGCATAGAACATAAACTAGCGTAACAACTGCAATTTCCAGGATGAGCTCTTGGGAGGCTGGCAAAGAACAGATATATTTGTTGATCTTCGTTGCCATCCTGAACGCCATTTGGCGTAATAAGCAGTAAGTTTGTAAGTAAGTAAGTTACAAAATGTAATAGGATGAATGTTCCATGTTACCTATTGTTGAGGCGTCCACGATGGCTAACATGCCGAGATACACGCCCATACAGAAATCCGCACAAGCAAGATTACATATGAGGAATCTTGGAACCTCCATCTTGGATCTACCGCTGATTGACACGAACAGTACTATACCATTCCCCGCAACTGCTAAAAGGAAGACCATCCATACACCGCACCGAAGAGACCACCAACCGAACAGATCATCACAGGGCAGGAATGGGCCTGGATGTAGAAAAGAATATATATATTATAAAGCTTTAATCCGATTGGTCAAATACGACATTCGCTAGACGACATATATGGTTATCAAAGTTTTACTTTCTCCACGAACAATGTACGTATTAAACGTGTCGCAACGTTTCAAGGCCGACTGGTACCTTTGTCAAACTATGACTTAGTCATGGTCTTGAAACGTTGCGACACATTTAATACGTACATTGTTTGTGTAGAAAGTAAGTCATAGCTTGACAAAGGGACTCTCGGTCTTGAAACATTGCGACACGTATAATACATTGTGTGTGTAGAAAGTAAAACGTTGATATCACATATTTCCAAACTGATGAATCTTATTGATGACATGTATGGTTATCACCTCTGTAAATGTTACGATCCCCGTTTCTTGTTCGAGAACATGACATTATTTGACTTTAATCCACTGATGCTGCTGGTCGCCGATGGGGCGACAGAAGACGCTTACCCTTGCAGAATTTATTATTGGTATTTGCTCAGGGGTCACCATTTCAAACTTTCCTTAGCCCTAGTTTTGTCGATTTCGAGTTCGAGTTACCGTTTTATTGACATTTCGGTATTTTCTTGTTTGATGATTTTAAGCTAACATTCTGGAAGAGATTGACTTTCTACTGGGGTGATCAGATGTAGCTGATTCTTTGCGAACATGGAATCTTATTTACGTGTCTGGTAAGTATGACAATTATTGAAGGGTCTCAGATAGTGGTGAAGACTTAGTACCTGGCAATGGTGTACAGTTCACGGGTTTCCTCACGTGAATTAGGGCCTCCAAACTATCGTACTCATCGATGTCCGACGGGGTGATGTTACCGATGACATGTGGACCGATAAAGCTTGTATAGTGATCAAAGTTGTAATTGTCGTCCGTGTAGTCGTCGTACGTTCGATTATCTAAGTTAACATAAAGAATCGATCGTTATTTTATATTTTTAATGAGGTCCACGTCAACATCGATTACTCACGTTTATATGGCCCCATATACACTCATATATAAGTCCTTAATCGTAATATGTGATATAACTGTATGATGTTTTTAACATTAACAAATGAAGAGTCAGCATATCATCAAGAGAAACGTACTGCATTTGCCATTGTGAGGTTACAATTGGAGTCACAACATATAGAGAATATGTTTCTAAAAATAGAAACAACGAGTCAATATCATAAATCACCAACCTTCACGTGACTAGCATTCAACCAATGTTGGAAAATGATGTCATCTATTATCATTCAGTTACAACCTCACGTACGTTTATTATTTGTTAAGGTAAAGAGTACCACTGCATCATTCATAATCTCGGAGAAGAGTTCCAATCAGAGTTTTGTGAATTGGAGTATTCTCCACTCTATTAACACATCAGCAATGCCTCAGAATTTGAAGTTGATTTATTGATTTTAAATTTTGCGTTATGTTTTTCCCGTTCAATTATTGTATTTTAGACTCCAATGCTATTCATTATTGTAAACTCCTCTGATTAAAATCAACCAATCAGGGCAAAGGGTTTCAATGACAAAATAGATTATATAAATATACAATGAAGTGGTCCCTATGTAGTGGAAAAAGTAACCAATCGAAAATTGTCTACGACTAAAACATGTTGAAATTTAAATTCAATCCAATACAACTGTAACAACAGTTTGTAAAATAACCAAATTCATCAGCCCGAGAATCTGTCAATGGCTTACCTGAAGAGACCGCTAACCATGTAACATCCTCCTTTAGTCTAGTATCGTGTTCGTCCTGTAAATACAAAAAAACATTAATGTTTGTGATCTGTACACCATTTTGTATTTGAATGAGAGCAGGATTTGTTTTCTACTGAGAAATCAATCGCTCCAAGGGGGACGGGTACCTTTTATAGCGATGTTACCTTTTTGTAGGTATCATAAACCATTTAATAAGTACAGAATCGGTAAGTTACCTACTGTTGAAAAAATAAATTATGATTAATATTAAATAATCATTAACATTTCTAAAAATATAAAAAGAAACATTTAACAGAAATATTAAATAAGTAATGTGCTATCACTTAGAATAATAACGAAAGGTATCGCTACATCAGCTCAAATTGGGGAAGAAGATTTCAACTCCAGAGCTCTTTTTTCTTCAACTTTTCATTTGAAGTGTAAATTCACCAGCAGAAAGGTCCCGAGTTTTTCTTCGTTGTTTTTCATTTTCTCTTTTGTATTATATTTATTATATTTCTCATACGCTGAACAGCTATAGTTCTGTAAAATCGGTGGCTAGATGTAATTTACAGTTTCTGTTTTTTTTTCTGTTTTAGAAAATGACAAATAGTTCTTAATAGTGATAACGACGATAAGATATTTTAACTGTATGGTACTTTGCTTTTAGGATTCCTGTCCCCTTGCAGGAAAAACACCAAAGAATTCAAAAGAGAATTTTTCATATATACAGTAAATCCCCTGAATTTCGTTTTTAAAGTATAACTGTAGCACAGATGGGCAAGGGGTCTCCTGTTTACAGGGTAGCTTAGTTACTTAGAGCGCTAGTATAACAATTTCACATCCAGATTCGAATCCTGATCTAAATTTTTACACTCGGAACACTGCTTTTTGTTTAATTTATCCTATTTTTAAAATAAAAGCTCGGCAAGGTGAAGTTTCGTCTACAGACGTTATTATCAAATCTACAGTTATATCGGAAAATTAGTTTCAAAGACGTAGTAATTTGTTTTGTTTGGTACGTATAGTTGGTTAGGATGTTTTCGGTACTTGTAATAAATTGCAGACATCTTATGGTTTCTCATTGTATACTATATTCAATGGGACACCCTATACTATTATGTATAACATATTTAGAACTTTGACGGGAAGAAAATGATTCTGTAACAAACAACAAAAATGCTTCATAACGTCAATAATTTTTACATTATCGGACGAGTTCTCTGTTTATGACGTCAGACTTCTATGACGTCACGGTCCCGGTCACTACCGATCACACTAATTCAACTTTCTGATTAGTTATTACATACATTGATATTGCAATCTGTAGTTTCATGGGTTTAAATAAAAAGTGCATTTTTCACAAGCAAATAAAAAGAACAGATAAATAAAAGAACAAAAATACGATATTACAATGTAAAAACATTTAATAAATATGCCCCGAAATTCGCTTGTAAAAACGTAAAAAAATATATCATCACACTTTCTGTTGTGAACAGTTTAATCAATCGTATCACAACATGTATCAACGATGATTTTCAATGGTAGTACCTTTCGACCAGCATATATGAAGTCACAACAATGGTAGGCGTACGACAAAACAAGTATTTTGATCTTTGGTAGTCTATTAGAAGGAACAGCCTCCCTGAGGTTCGTGTTATGGAACGTCTTCAGCACTTGCAGGTTCTGTAGTCCATCAATTGGTAGGCGTGGGAAATCGTTTTCACTTAAGTTTCTGGAGAAAAAAAGCAAGAGAATGCCGAAATGTCAACGAAACCAATATTCGCACTTAAAATCGATCAAACTAAAACATAATATGAACAAATGAAATGTTTGTATTGGCGAGGAAAATAACACCAGCTGTAACGAAAGGGCAAGGAAAATAAGACTAGGTGTTACGTAAGGGCAATGAAAATAAGACCGTGTGTTACGGAAGGGCAAGGAAATAAGATGAAAAATGAAATAAGACCAGGTTTTCCGTAAAGGTAAGTCACTTGTACTTTACACTCGCCATGTAAGTGTAGGCCAAAAAACGAGGAATGTCATGTCCTCAAAGAAATTACTGGGAAAGTGACAACAAATCCACATGGCACTCTAATGAGCATAATAAAAACACCAATCCTCACATTACACAAACAAAAAGCATAATCCCTTTATGAGAGAATGATTGTAACCAGAGGTTTTAAAGAGCCAAATTGTGACCCATCTTTAGCATTTTATGAAATACCCCAAGCTAGTTTCCAAATGTCATCAAGAACAGTTTAGTAAAATCGAAAATGATGAAGGTACGACACACCCCTGTGATTGCCCCTTTAAAGCTTGGTAATAGATACAGTATGGTAATAGATACAGTATGGTAATAGATATAGTATGGTAATAGATACAGTATGGTAATAGATATAGTATGGTAATAGATACAGTATGGTAATAGATATAGTATGGTAATAGATACAGTATGGTAATAGATATAGTATGGTAATAGATACAGTATGGTAATAGATATAGTATGGTAATAGATACAGTATGGTAATAGATATAGTATGGTAATAGATACAGTATGGTAATAGATATAGTATGGTAATAGATACAGTATGGTAATAGATATAGTATGGTAATAGATACAGTATGGTAATAGATATAGTATGGTAATAGATACAGTATGGTAATAGATATAGTATGGTAATAGATACAGTATGGTAATAGATATAGTATGGTAATAGATACAGTATGGTAATAGATATAGTATGGTAATAGATACAGTATGGTAATAGATATAGTATGGTAATAGATACAGTATGGTAATAGATATAGTATGGTAATAGATACAGTATGGTAATAGATATAGTATGGTAATAGATACAGTATGGTAATAGATATAGTATGGTAATAGATACAGTATGGTAATAGATATAGTATGGTAATAGATACAGTATGGTAATAGATATAGTATGGTAATAGATACAGTATGGTAATAGATATAGTATGGTAATAGATACAGTATGGTAATAGATATAGTATGGTAATAGATACAGTATGGTAATAGATATAGTATGGTAATAGATACAGTATGGTAATAGATATAGTATGGTAATAGATACAGTATGGTAATAGATATAGTATGGTAATAGATACAGTATGGTAATAGATATAGTATGGTAATAGATACAGTATGGTAATAGATATAGTATGGTAATAGATACAGTATGGTAATAGATACAGTATGGTAATAGATATAGTATGGTAATAGATACAGTATGGTAATAGATATAGTATGGTAATAGATACAGTATGGTAATAGATATAGTATGGTAATAGATACAGTATGGTAATAGATATAGTATGGTAATAGATACAGTATGGTAATAGATACAGTATGGTAATAGATATAGTATGGTAATAGATACAGTATGGTAATAGATATAGTATGGTAATAGATACAGTATGGTAATAGATACAGTATGGTAATAGATATAGTATGGTAATAGATACAGTATGGTAATAGATATAGTATGGTAATAGATACAGTATGGTAATAGATACAGTATGGTAATAGATATAGTATGCTAAAATATAAAACAGTGCACCATTCAATTGTCTTGTCCTTCTACGTTTCATCGTCGATGCTAGGAGGCAAACAACTAATTGTAAAACCTAATTGGGCAATACTATTGTTGAGACAGTAAGGGATATGCGTAAAACCAATTCTTTATATGATTCTGAACACTCTAGATATTGTGTTATCCACCCCATTGTTTTGGCCTTATAATTAACGGAGTAAATTATTGCCATATGCTGCAGTAAAATCTTAACTTTGTTAAACTTTTTGAATCTCCAATGTTCAAATAAGTGCCCAATTTCTTCCTATTTCTTGTGTCTAGTGATAGTATTGAACACTTGACACATAGGAACATTTTATTTATTGGCTTTAATGCCAAGAACGTGACCAATAATAAACAGGAATGTGATTTACTGAAATAGTGACACAACTGCCTAGACTTTCTAAGTTCGTGTCACTCGAAGAAATACTTACAAGTCTGTCAGAGCGATTAAGTCGATGAACGCATCGTCGTGTATTTCACCAATTTTGTTTTTTGACAAATCCCTGCAACGAGAAATATGAAAATTCCATTGATAACTATTCCACATTTTGCTACTGATTGACAAATAGTCACATTGATACATGGGACCTAATTATTTTTGTTGTTTAACTAATGCTGAGTGTGTGGTCTCTTTGCGCAATAGCTAACGCATTCCCCATTCACCATGTGGGTTTTCTCCGGGTACTCCGGTTTCCTCCCACAATAAGACCCCCAGCGCGCTCCCATCCGAGCCAACAAGAGTGAAAATAAAATGAATAAGTTCGAAGAGCTTGTTTGACAATTGTTGTAAAATACGAATATAGTTTATATTTTCATTTAACTCTCATTATGTCACGGGTAGTAGTTTCGTTGTATCTTCAATCATCTAATAAAAACCAGAAAGATATACTTAATGTTCTGGTATTTGAAATGATGTATTTAAACGATTTTTGCCCCAACCGTCCCATGCGGGCAAAAACACTTCTTTAAAATTGCGGTTTGATTCAGTTATACCAGTGTGGTCATATTGGACTTGGTTGACCGTCGGCGACCAGGTAGCTCAATTAGCAAGGGGATACCCGAATCTGGGTTGTGAATATTTGTTTCTTTGGGACGAAAACTTCGAAAAGGGAGGGACAATGTAGCGGAACTCGGCTGGGTCGATCATCGGCGACCAGGTAACTCAATTGGTAGATCGTTCGTCAAGAGTTCGAATGGTTCTGGGTTGGAATGCTTGTCTGGCCGTTGTTTTCTTTTTCATGTTACACCAGTGGAAAAATCTGTTGACTCGACTCCGACAACTTTTCATTGGCCATAAACAAGTGTAATACGTTTTGGAAAAATACTAAAGTATCGTTATCACTCGTTTAAATTAGGGCTCAAAAATAGTCCTATTTTCAAGAACACAACGGTAGTAACCTCAACACCGGACGTCATTAACTGTTGTGGGTTCGAGTCGCGTCACGGCACTGTGGTATATCGTTGAACAAGATACTTTCCTCCACTTGTTGCTGTCTACTCAGCTGTAAATGAGTACGTGGATGGGCAGTGCTTGAATTGTTGAATACTAGCTGTGAGAGCCGAAATGGCAGCATCGGCTATATGCTCCCCAGGGAGTTGAGAAAGATATTGGCTGGTTGCAAAGGCCCTATCACCACGCATACTAATTTGTGAACCGCTTTGAGACGACCTACGAACTGTGATAAAGAGATATAGAAGAACCTTGAATTATTATTATTATTTTCATACTATACTTACAGATAGTCAAGTTTGACGAGTCCACAGAATGCATTCCGGGGGATGTATGTGATGATATTACGTGTTAAAATAAGATCCTTTAGATGTGTCAGGTTGGCGAACACATTTTCATCTAGAGATGATACATCGTTGTTTCCCAAATTCCTAAAATAACAAGATATTTCATCATTAAAACAATATTTGTTGATAAACAGTAAGAAAGAAACTGATTAGATTTTAGTCCTTTATAAACTTGTTGATTTACGTACTTTTAAAACTGTTCATGGGGTTGTCTTTTTCATTTGTCGCATATGGTTACATATTATAATGAAAAAGGATAAATGTCCAACTAGCTCGGACATACCTATTATACACTTTCCATAAAACATTACATTTTAACAGAACTTAATTAGATTGGTCTTTTTCGCAATTTTAGTCAAACAGTAAATATTATTTGAACGAAGGAAATATATCAGTCTCACATTTCTGTTTTAACTCAGAGAGGTCGTATTTCTTCCTTCATACGGGAATCGCAGTTATTTTCTGTTAAATTTAGATTATTTCCTTTTTATTTCCATAAAAATAGTAATTGGTTAGGGCCTTTGTAGGAAGTTTGAACATTTTAAAATTATTTCCAATGAAGTCGCCGAAAAGTAAACACGGAAGAGCAGTTTTTATCAGGAGGCAATTGGTCTAGGAAGCGAATCCTCGTGGCAGAAATGCTTTTTGTTGTAAAATGAAAGGAAAGCACAAATGTATGTCTATTCATTTTGTTTGTATCTTTTTGCTTTTGTTTACAGGCTACCAGCACCCAATTAAACAAATGCCGGGCAAATTATTTTTGTTGGTTGAGTCACAAAATAGGGCGCTGGCACTCTCTATCTTAAGTTAATAGCAGTAATCGACTTTCCTGTCGTGCCATAATTTCCTTTCTCTTTTGAAATAATACGGAATATTTCAAAACACATGGAAGTCGTTAGATTTGTAGGCCTGTATTGGATTACCCATCAATTCTGCTAGAAGCGAGGAATATTGATTTTCCCCCGTAGATGTTCATGATTGAACACCTAATATATCTTACGTACGTAACACTCAGATACACATTCACTCCCTATCAGCATTATTGCAATGCTACAAGTAGGCATTTGGGAGGTACCGGCGCCGACAATAACGTATTATCGAACACTCAATCATTCTACAGCCTAATCGTTCACAAGGTTCATTCACACCGAGGTCCATTCCTATTTTGTACTTCAACTCGGCATCACGTTTTATCAATATAACACTCATGGCAGATATGTTTTTAATCAATTTCTGACCATTCTATGACGTAGTTGTAGGATTTTATTAATCATATCCATCAAACTCAATCGGAATAATAGAGGTATGTAATGTTATCCATTGTGGTTGAACAATGACGTTAGTAATACAGTCTGTAATATGTTTGTATGTGAGATATTAATATTCTACCCGAGGGTGTATAATTTGAGCAAGAGTCAAGGCTTTGCTGATGTTATAACACCAAATCTGCACCAAAGGTAGACTATCCGCACCTCACATAGCTACATAATGATTGACCCAGTTTCCCCTCCTCTTAACCGAACATTTGGTAAAACAGGAATCAGCAATGAAATATTACATTAGCATAGCATGATTTCTAGATAACGTGTACGCAAACTGAGGCAAGTATAAGCAAATGCAGAAAAAGTATAATATATTTCAAATTTTATGATCCGTGCAAGACCTTCAGGCAAGCATGTAAAATTATTCCTGTGTTTTGCAGGTGGTGTCATTTGCCGACTGCAACATTGCCACAGTCAGCAAAACGAAGTTTTGTCGCATTTCAATTGTGACGTCATGATAAAAAACATGTTAATGAGTGCGCTGACCATTCTATTTAACAAAACTGATTATACAATTACACATATATGCAGAAGTAGTATACCCAAACGGGTTTTAGAATACAACAAAGATGTATCTAGTCTAGTAAAAAGGAAATATGGTTGCAGGTAGTCTGTTTTTTCCCCAAACGGGTTTATACAACATAACACGGCCAAGCTATATCCTACATTGAGTGATAGAATCCATGTTGTCCATGTAATCAAACAAGTGATGGAATACAACAAGGGGATGCAAGATTTTATTTCCTTTCACAATCAGATTTCAAAATTTACATTTCAGCCACGAATGGCGTCAGTGCTTATTTAAGTAATCAATATTGATCACACACTTGTGCATGGGCTCTGTCGAGAGGAGCAAACCTAATCTCCTGTCGCATCCCAAAACCCTTCACGATTTACCCCACACGATTCTGTTCAGGTTCTGGAGCCTTGGATTTGTTGACTCATATAAAATTATACTGTGCGCCTGCTCTTTTGAAAACGAATCTGTGATGTTAGATTTGGTTTGTTTTTGTTTTATACGGTTTAATGTCCATTTAACACATAAGGTAATTTAAAGATGTGCCTGCATATGTGTAATGTATGAGTGGACGTGTGCATGTGTGCTGGAGGCATGGTATACTTGTGTTTACCGCCTTGCAATAGCGCGAGATTGATGCCGATTTGATAGTGCTACATCACTGAAGTACCATGCCGATTTGATAGTGCTTCATCACTGAAGTACCATGCCGATTTGATAGTGTACATCACTGAATTACCATGCCGATTTGATAGTGTACATCACTGAAGTACCATGCCGATTTGATAGTGTACATCACTGAAGTACCATGCCTATTTGATAGTGCTACATCACTGAAGTACCATGCCGATTTGATAGTGTACATCACTGAAGTACCATGCCTATTTGATAGTGCTACATCACTGAAGTACCATGCCGATTTGATAGTGTACATCACTGAAGTACCATGCCTATTTGATAGTGCTACATCAATGAAGTACCATGCCGATTTGATAGTGCTACATCACTGATGTACCATGCCGATTTGATAGTGCTACATCATTGAAGTACCATGCCAAATGCATCAAGCACAGTTTCCACCAGGTCACATTATCATGACAACGGGTGAACCAGTTGTTGCGAATACCGTGCATAATGAACGGTAAGTAGGGAATATCAAGGGATTTTGTGGGACAGAACCGCTTGCCTGCGTCACTTGAGCGAGCGTTTAACATTAAGACCGTACGTCAGGCATTGAACCTCTGAGCAATTTGTTGGTGAAAATTGAAGATGCATTAAAAAATATAAAGAAAGTATCCCTGCTATTTGATCATTACCGGGATATGTCACAACTGAATAACAAAAGTAGATTTCAATGCAATATTACAGAACGTGTTTTCAATTTTCTTAATGTATGTGAATACGAAAACAAACAGCATCTTCGTATACTTACAATAGATTTCCTTTTTTACTTACAAAAGCTCCAACATTCGGCAACGTGTCAGATCTGGTATTTTCTTGATATTATTGGAATGCACATTTCTGTAAAATAACAAGCAACATAAAAAATGTTGATCATTATTGTATGTGTGAACTTAATCAATATTCTTTCAAACAACATACATAGTGTCTGGAAACAGTGTCTGTATCATACGAAATTTACGAAACGAATATAATATTTTTCAACGTTTTATCGAGCATCTAGTAAGTCTTGATGCCTAAATTCCATGATCTTGACTCGTTATCTTTTTGACTTTATGACGTCATACTATACATTGTGGGTCAAAGGACGGCTAATAATAGACTATAATATCAGTTTATAATACCATTGGTTTGGTTATAATGAAATATTGTTTAATCTAGATGTCAGCATTGACATAATTTAGGTTATAAAAAGACTTAATGTGACGTCAAAGATGATATTGAGGTGACGCCACAACGGGTCTTATTCCATCAATGTTACAGTGTGCCTTAACAAATCGCATGATCGGGAGACAAACTATCTGGTCTCCCTCATACGATCAATTTGATCCATTACCCTTTCCAGTATTCCTTCCGGAGCCTGTTTGGCAGATCTTAACGCCCGATGTGCTTTGGACACTAATAAATGTGGCTATAAATAATTCGTCCTGATACATTTAATGCGTTGTTCTACTTCGGTATACTAGTATACTAATGATAAAATGTTGCCTTTTTAGTACAGAAACAGGATTATTTGATTTTTCTTGACCGATCATATTTCTTTTTGTTTTCGCCTTCATCAAAAGTATTGTTAACCTCGCAGGAAAACGTAGTCATTGTTTCATTTCTACAAGGATAAGGAATATAATAAAGGTAACCATTCGTTTTATTCGCTCGAGGAGAAACCTGTACTGAATCATAAAATATATCGGTTTGAAAATCTTTTTAAATATCATTTCATAAATAAAACAATGGAAGTGCTGTTCTAAGTGGAATCATGTTTTTGAAGATTTTTTTTTACCACAGCACAATTTATATTATTCAGCACTTCTGATACCATCAAAAGTGATAAAAGCTTTGTATATGGTTCCAGCAACTTATGAAACAAACACATACATAACATATCCTCCTTGTATTGTTTTTATGACTTTGCTCTTTCCTATCAGTAACAAAATTTGGGAAATTGTTTTATTCTGCCAATCTCGCCGAAATTTTAATGGGACGATGTCAGAGATACAGTCCTATTTCATTATTTCTTGTATGTTATAATATTGATTATTTGAGCAAAAATATTTTTTTATTACGCATTATCGTCGTTCTGGCTACTATACGTCTTACATGTACACTTTTGTCCACAATGCTTACAGTTCCTTGATATCAGGATGGAAATCACAGAAGTTAGCAGGAATCTCAGTAATGGCGGATCTGTCTAGTTTCAGAGTCTCCAGCTGAGTTGCGCCAGACAGATCAGGGAATTCCGTCATATCTCTTGCCTCTGATAAATGTCTGTAAACACGTTAACTAAACATCAACATGATCATAACTCTGCCACTGTATTCCAAAACAAACAGCAGGTAACATTCTTTAATAGAAATTGTTATATTTTATTAAGGATCCTCCTGCCATTGCCAATAACTATAATATGCATTGTAAACTATTTCCGGAATAACTCTGGACTCGATAAAAGAAAGCTACAGCTTATGTACATTTTATTGGAAACAAGGACAATTAACAAAAACAAAAGAAACGTGTTCAGAGTGCAAAACTCAACCAGGGCCGGCCCGACCAGGATTCGAACTATGGACCTCCGATCATTTTACTGTCGCTTTAACAAAATAAGCTAATTGGTCAAGGGTAGTGGTCATGCCTAGATGTGCTCAATCATATCCAGCGCGAAATCATGAAGAGATTACTGTTTAAGCGGTAAATTACAGTTGAATTATCTAGTGTTTTCCCGCAGTGGACCATGGATCCTTAAAATAATATACTAGCGGAAAAAAGAAATTGTGCATGCCCAAAATGTGTTATAAAAATAAATGTGTATGACGCAGAACAACAAGGTTTTCAGGGACAATTTATTTGTTATTTATAAACAGTTGCATTTCATTTTCCACGTTATGGAATCAATAAGTTCCGCTCAGGAGTGACGTAAATACAGCGAGGGTCAATACTAAGTTCACAAAGTTAATACCTCGTATGTCCACCGTTTGCCTGAATGCAAGCCTGGCAACGTCGACGCATTGAGCCTATCAGACGGTTCAAGAATGCTTGTGGGACGGCATTCCAGATTTGTACCAACGCTGCAGCCAAATCAGCCAACGTCATCGGTTGATTAGGTAATGCCCGTAATCTGCGCTTCATTTCATCCCAGACGTGTTCAATGGGCGGCAGATCGGGGGATCCAGCAGGCCAGGGCAACACGTCAACGTTCTGCTGGGCAAGAAAGTCCACAGCGACACGAGATGTTTGTGTCCTGGCGTTGTCCTGCTGTAGAGTAATAGGACGTTGCTGCCCTTGCACGAATGGAACGACGTGGGTCCGGAGGATCTCGTTACGGTAACGTAGCGCGTTCAAATTCCCGTTTACAACCACGAGAGGCGTTCTCCCGTTGGCTGTGATGCCGCCCCAAATCATAACGCTGCCTCCGCCGAAAGAACGTCGTTGTACCACACACGCGTCACGGAAACGATACACTCTGGAACGGCCGTCATTACTATCCAGGGGGACTCGCGACTCGTCTGTAAACAAAATGCCTGCCCAATCCCGTCGAGTAAATCGCAGATCCCTTCTGCACCAGTCCAGACGTGCTACACGATGACGTGGCAGAAGAACTGGGCGGATTGCAGGACGTCGCGGACGGATAGCTCGTTCACGCAATCGGTTCCGTACAGTTCTCATTCTTATTGGTAGCAACCTAGGGATTGTCCGTGCAGTCAAACTTGCCGTTTGGAAGCGATTTTTTGAAATGGACAAGCCGAAAATGGTTGTCCTGTTGACGTGACGTCACACGTGGACGTCCCGCACGAGGCCGATCGCCGACGTGGCCAAACTGTTGATGTCGTCTCCACAAATCCCGGATTGTGTTTCGATGGACATGAAAACGTGTAGAGACTACGGCTTGGCCCATACCAGCTTGAAGCAAACCAATAATCCGGAGGCGGTCATTTTCATTGAGCCTCGCTATAGCATTAATCACAAATTAAAAGGTTATAATGCTGTTTTTACTGTTCACTGGTCTCAACAGAGCGACTCAACAGTTGAAAAATAAACTTTCATTGTCGAATTGGATGGCTGGACGAGAAAAACGTGGAACCTGGTCAACGCCTATAGAGAGCAAACTGCACGAGAAAAACTGTCAATGACACACGGATAGTGTGTATGTGTCATACTCGGTCATGTGTGTGAATTTTCATGTATATACAGTTGGTAATACATGTTTTATAACAATTCTCCGCATGCACAGTGTCTTTTTTCCGCTAGTATATATGTGATTTTGTATCAAACATGGAACACAATTAGTAAGTGTATAATAATTAAATACAATAATAAATAAAGTACATTCAAGTGGTATGTGTCGTGCTTGTGTGTACCAGATATTCTTTAATGTCCACATGATTGATCTTAATGGACAGTTCAGACTAATGGAATAAAGTCGAAAGTATATTGTCATGTTTTTAGTAAACTAAATTTAATCAATTTTTGGAATGAAGTCTTTCAGAATACATGTATAATTCCTCTTAAAGTCTTTCCCGTCTATCAAGGACATTATTTTGGTTTAAAGTTTTCTCAATATTATAACACGTTTATTGCATACAAACTCATTTCAAATTGGCGGAAAAATCGCCTCCCAAACATAACCCTAAATTCTCTATAAAAGATTTGCAAAATTATGCCGGCTTTGAAAATATTCCTTGTATAACTTGTAGTCAATTATCTTTATAAAAAATATGATAAGCGGCCATTACTAGGTCTATCCTATTCATGTGCACCGGAATATATATATAGAGATATTATAGATTGTCCTGCAATATTGATAACCTATTTGCATACACATGTATTACCAATACTAATAAGAAACTTTAAAAAAGATGATTGATCATTTTCTTAATTAAAGATCTAAGACGATGTTTTGAAACCAAACTACAGGGATCACGTTTGTGATACAAACTTGGTAAAACGCAACATTTAATAGCTATGACTTCTAATGTCAAAACCAGTTTAGCTAGGGCTTGTACTGTTTAAAAAGCTTTATAGTAAGACTAGTAAGATTGAATCGAAAAAAGCTTCGAAAATAAAACGGCCCCGAAAAAAACCGTTGCTTAATTTAGAGATTTTAGGGCTTCTTATTTCAATTACATAGTCAACGTATGCTGAAATAACGAGCGTGCAACTTTAAGCCATGCAAAACGAGTTTGTCTACAAGGAGTGGTAATAACTTACAGGTTCTTCAATGGTAGATTGGTGAAAGCCCGTTTTCCGTAAGACACGATAGGGTTATCTTTGAGTACTAGCATGCGGATTCGGTTGTTACCGGAAAAGGCGTAGTCAGGAATGTATTGAATATTATTATCCTCTATTTGTCTGTAATACATATTAGTTTATTATTAGGATATGCATACCATTATAATTAACATCAATTCATGTAAGACAGTATCGTGCTTAACGTTGGTTGGTATTGTTGTAATATAATACCCTCGTAATTAACATTGGTTTACATAGTTATAATATAATACCCTCGTATTCAACATTGGTTTACATAGTTATAATACAATACCCTCGTATTCAACCTTGGTTTACATAGTTATAATACAATACCCTCGTAATCAACATTGGTTTGCATAGTTATAATACAGTACCTACATATTCTAAACTGGTTTATATAGTTGTAAAACAATATCGATACAACCAAAAGATCTGTAGGCATTCAAAATAAAGCTAGGGTTTTTTCCACTGGAAAAATATAATTTGTAACATGAATTTTGATTTATTTTTTGGAGATATTTATTTATTATATTAAAAAAGGTATTAAAGTTAGAACGTATTCTTTGCGAAAATATACCATTATACTCACACTGTTTCAAGGTCAGGTAAGGCTGCAAAGGCCGGTGGAATATGCTTCAGTTTATTCCTGTTCATTACCCTGTCAGGATAAATAATTACAGAAATTATAAGAAAATAAATTTAGAAAATATGTTTGCACACAAACATAATTCAAATAAACATTTTTCGAAATATAGCGCTTGGTTACATCACATCTGCTCTAGTAGGATATTTGTTATTTCTTCTACGACATAAACAATCTACTAGTTCCAGAATATGTGTTCAGATTATTGATTTTAGAAAACAATAAGTGTAGCCACTTTATTCAACAGACAAGTCATCTAAAAAGAGAAAATGACTTAATAACTAAGAAGGGGAATTATGACATTTCATGTGTTTCAGATTCTAAAATAAAACCATATGGTATGTACTCTGTCATATTCAGACTGATGGAGATGACAGAGTACATACCGTACTAGTCATCGAAACGTCACATAGAAACTATGTGTGACTTTTCATAATAAGGTAAGTGCTTCATTGCCTTTTTATTATTTTTGCTATAATATAAACACGTGTATCAATTAATCGGAAAAAACAAAAAACAAAAATGGCGCGTATTATTACGATTTTGTTTCATTGACATACGAATCTGTATCAATACATGCCTACAGCAAAATCTAGAAAAAGAACAGTATACAGGTCTGTGCCGTATCACGTCTGGCAGAAATGAGTAAATAGACACAGAAAATACCGTTAATTGCATCAATTTGGCGACCAGAGTTATAATAATATTACAGATATTACGTTATTTGTAGAACCAGTATTGCAAATCTTCTTTGATTTATTGATTGAACGAAGCGTTGTTTTCCCAAACAGACTTTCTGTTAACTTGAACAAACCGTTCAGTTTCTATAGGAATGAAATTTCGACATGTGTCAGTACAAAATGTCGACATGGCATACAGTAATAGTCAACCGAAAATCTATCTAAAGAAACCCATCGTCGACCGTTCTACGTGAACAAACTGTCGGTGTTTCTATATCAACAACAAGATAGTCTATCTAAATCAAGAATCCATTGAATAGTCGACAATATGTTTATGTAGATGCGCTATATGAACATATTGTCGACTATTCTACATGAGGAAACTACTAACAAATCTATCCACAACAACAAGCTTCGCCCTCTCTGCATGACCAAACATTTGATGATTCTTCAGTGTCATGCATTTGATCTATATACATGAAACTGTCGACGCATCTACAGGAACGAACCAGCGGCTGGTTGAAAGCAATAATCCATCCACCTATCTATAAAAACACAAGCCATTGGCGTATCTATAGGAACAACGCGCCATAAAAAGACAAGGTCGTAATAGAATAAATTGGTCTTGTGGTTTAACTACATATCGTTGTAATTTGTTTAGATATTTTTTTTGTTATAGTGGAAACGGCTTTGTGATAGAGTTGTGTTTATTGTTAAGGTATTAGTGGTATTGTTTTACCCTAACAGTTTTGTTTTAGTGGTAATGGCCTTGTGATAGAGCTGTGATGTTTATTATAGCAAAACTGGTCTTTTGTTGTTTCTATCATACATGATACCGTGGTAATTTTTTAAATATTGTTTTTTTGTTATAGTGGTAATGGCCTTGTGATACAGTTGTGTTTTTTGTTAAGGTATTGTTTTGCCGTTATAGTTTTGGTATAGTTGTACTGATCCAAATAAATATAAACAGAATTCGTAAAACAATAACTTGCCCCAGGGAGTGGTTTGAAAAAAAACCCCATCGAATAACAGATGTTGAATATATACCAGATGATGTAAATATCAACAGGCTATAAATATAACAGAAAATTCTATGCAATCACTGGCTGGAATTCGGAGAAAAATAAGGAGATTCGGTGTTCGTTTAATACTCTTCGAACGGATTTAGGCAGTAATCGATCTTATGTCTCGTTTGTGGTGATATACTGAAGTATACAGCGAGTCATGACTTGCAGGATCAATAGACGGTGATTGTATATGACGCAAACAGAAGCCAAATCGATGTAACCCGTCTCTTATATACCAACACACAAAACTAGCTATATTCACCACTAATAAGTTTATTTTTTTATTTTACATTTTTCCTATATTTAAGAGTTGAACCGATTTCAATTGGCATTCATAAAGACACATTCAATGAAGCGCGCTAGTAGTTCATGTCGGAAATGTATTTGTCCAGTTTGCATCATATTGCCTATGGATGCCAACTAAAAGCAGTTCCATACTTGATTATTATTTTTGGAATCCGTTCTATGACAGATATTTTCATAGATAATAAATTCAACCACACTTATCAGTATTCAGCATTAAGAAAAAATATTATTTTCTGTTTATGCTTGTGCAGTAAAAAGTACAAACATTTGTACAGAGAGAAAAGCAGTGTTATCCGACGCAAAAATGATGACGGCATGATAATCAAAATGTCAACCATCGAGTCATGACATCCATATACTATATGGATATAGATATTCCTCTGTCAAAGTGCTTTAATCCTTAGTTAGAAATCAATTAGTAATATACTTTTCAGTATAATAATCTAGAATTTGACTTGCACCGTATTATTAGTATTTATCATGAATTGTTTTCTTTAAAATGTATATCTTGCAACTACGATATATAAGTGCTTTCCCTGGTATTTTACTTATGTATACTTAAAGCGTTTAGTGGCATATATCCGGTACCTCAGGGATGAACATAAAGGGATACATATGTGATTACACTTAAATATGGTAAAACAAGGTAATAAATTCAGTATGCCTAAAGTATATCAGGGTGTGGCGCCCGCATTGATAGCCTCAGGGAACACTAGTTATGTTAATATACTTCAATCAATGATGACATTTCGGTGGAAATTTGAGTTTGAGTTTTGCCTAAGGTATTTCTTATCGTGATACCATGATATTAACACGCAATCTCATTTTAGTAGATACCCGGGAGAAATTAGTTTTACAATTTGAGTTCTGTTTATACTCCAGCACTCGCAATTAAAGACACCATAGACTGCTCATCACCAGGTTCATATATTAACATTAAACTACAGTACCGCCAAAATCTTTACTGATCCAATTAAATGTCTGAAAACATTATTTTTTATTTGATGAAAAACATATTGTTTCCACTTCAGAAGCATCAGGTTCAGCGTCGATTGCTTATAACGATGCACTTCGTAACGTCACAATGTATGCAATACTCGAAAGCATGCTCCAAGTGTTAGGGTTTTCTTGATGGACGCGTTCTCTTTGTAAATAAATCACATCGTTGCTACTACACTTAAAAAATATCATGAATCTGCCATAAAAAAAAATCGCAAAGATGATAAGACTTTTGCATCCCCTAAAAGCAATATATGCAGCATGCGCAAAATATTTTTGCAAACCCAATACTATTTTAGTAAATACATTTTTTTTTGTATTTCGAAATTCCCCCTCAAATTAAAAATAATAACGAGTATGCAGCAATTGTCGAATCTGTGACCTAGTTTGAAAGATTACAGTCCTCTTCTTTTTGCACAGCCGATGATTTAAATTTTAATGATTACATTACAAATCTTTTCATCGGTGCTATTTTCCAATCAAAACTTAGATACACTTCCTTCAGTCATGCTTTTGACTGTGAAAAGGCGAAAGCATATGCTATATACGGATCGTTGGCTCAGCCCAGGATATTCTTTCTGTAAATCATTAATTCATGTGGGTTCATTTGCACGTTAATTATCATCTCTTAATTGTGTCATTAGTGTATTATAAACAGCGGGCAACTTTGATTTTTAATATACTTCCTAAATGATTAGGTTGGTTTGTTTGCGCTTTACGTCCAATTAACAGCCACGGTCTTTTACGGTCGTGCCAGGGTTTGGTGGTAGAGGAAAGCCGGAATTCCCGGGGACAGAAAACACCAACCTGTGGTCGGTACGTGGCGACTGCCCCACGTAGGCCTCGAACCCGTGACCCAGTGGTTGATTGTTATAGTGATCAAGACGGTCAGACGTCTTAACCACTCGGCTACCGCGGTACTCCTAAATGATTAATGTAAGACACACAAAGATGATTGCACCTAAAAAATTTGGTAAAAAATAGTTAACCTTTACAATATGGTATAAAAAAGGTCAACCTATAAAATTTTGGTAAAAAAATGGTTAACCTATAAAATTTGGTAAAAGCAATTGTTAACTTATAAAATATGGTAAAAAAATGTTAACCTTTAAAATTTGGTAAAAAATAGTTAACCTATACAATATGGTATAAAAAAGGTCAACCTATAAAAGTTTGGTAAACAAATGGTTAACCTATAAAATTTGGTAAAAGCAATTGTTAACTTATAAAATATGGTAAAAAAATGTTAACCTTTAAAATTTGGTAAAAACATAGTTAATTTGAAAATTCGTTAAAAGAAAAGGTTAACCTATAAAATTTGGTAAAAAATGGTTAACCTATAAATACGGTAAAACCTGGTTATGGATACAGTAAGCCGAAAGTATATAAGGGTGTAAAGCCCATTTGTCTAGTTCTGGAGTCCTCTGAATGTTTCTATTTACCTACAACCAGTGATGACGTTTCGTTGATGACATTTAAGATATTACCTGAGGTATTACTTATCGTGTTTTAACGGACACCATGATATCAACACACAATCCCATTTTAGTAGTTAAACCGGGGTAAATACGTTTTATAAAATGAGATTGGTTTACTTTCCAGAATTTGCAATTAAAGACATTACGGACTGTACGTTGTCAGCTTCATATCCTGATATTAAACTATAGTTCTATTATGATTTTCTTGATAGACGTGACCTGTTAGCCAATAAATGACTTGGTTGGGATAGTCTACCTATATACTGAGCAAGTTTTATGGCTCGCTTTCAAAATGTGGAGTTTCTGTATCTGCTATGAAGGATTAAAGGAGGTGAACCGAATTTTGGCTTATTTTTCATTACCAAAAATCGAATATTGCATACAGTTCCCAAATTATTTTTGCAAAACCAATACATTGTTAACATTTAAAATCTTTGACTGTACAAATCAGAAAAGGACTGATAACCTTCCAAATGAGCCCAGATTCGACAATTTTTACATTACTATAGACATTCTTTCTTATACAAAATGTCGGAATGCAACATCCACATTTTGCACGGAGTGAATTTCCTTTAGGATAGTTCTTCCAGCCTAGGATAGACGCCATTCATCCATGTAGATACAATTGTTAATTATTATCTTTCTATTGTTATTCGTGTAAAGACGACAATGAAATCGGGCAGCACTTATTTCATTAGTTCCTAAAGATTATAATTTTGTTGATCAATCTTAAAAGGAAATAAGTGGAAGTGGAGGTAAAGTTAATGATTGTAAATACTGTCTACTATTGAACAGATCAGGCTAACTTCAATTTTATTTCAGTTAATTGTTTATCAAACATTTTGTTGTAGTTACGTCAGATGCAGTTATTAGTGTTGTATTTTTTACCAATATGTATGTATGGATAAATATGGTGAGGATTGAGCTATGTATATTTGGTGGTCGGGTGGCGCAGTGGTTTGCGCACTTGCCTTTAAACACACTTGGGTTCGATTCTCTAGTCGGACGTGAAGGAGTTTGGGGACACATATCGACCAGGTGAGTTTTCCACGAGATATGCAGTATAATGCCACACCGACACCCACATCGCACCTCCATCCAGGTCAAGTGCGTGATTATTTTCAGGTAGTAAAATTGTTTCATTATTGTTGTGAAATATTCGCCGGATATCAGGTAATTTATGAACGATGCAAACACGTAAGTTTGTCTTACTCGTTAGTATGCCATCAAAAAGGTGCGTTCTGACCAACATCTCGCGAGTAAAAATTACATGCTCTCGAAACATACCTGATAAACGGTATATTTCAATTGAATCATTTATGTTACTTACAATTCGGTTAGGACATTTAATCCTTGGAATGCGTAGTCTTCGATCTCAGCAAGCTGATTGTCTGCCATTCGTCTGAAACATGAATCGACCCATATTGAATAAACAACTATCCAACAAAAACAAAATAACTTTCTAACTATTTCTTATATATTATGAGATTACACGAACACAAACTTGACTCATATGTGCGTTCTTTTGTGTAAGGAAATACGGAAACTGCAATCAAACGCTTAAAGATTAAAAAATAATATTGAAGGTCTGGATCAAAAAAAGTTGTTTCTTGTAATTTGTGTAAGTTTATTTGGTATCTTTTTTAACTTGCAACATTTGAAAATGAAAAAAAGTATTCACATTGCTTTGTAGAATCATAATATTGTGTTGACAATTAAATGAACATAGTGACAAAATTTGAAAATGAAAAAAGTATTCAAATTGCTTTGTAGAATCATAATATTGTGTTGACAATTAAAAGGAGTTTATCTGGCTAAGAGAAGTTCCCATGTCCATTGTTTTACAGGTTTGGCAGCCCATTAAACGGACACTCATTTTGATGACTACGCAGTTGTAATTCCTAGATGGACACATCGCTAAAGCGTAGGCTTGGCATTGAGTTCGACCCCTATAGCTTTTGTGTTTTTTGTTTTATGTTTTCAACTATTATTCTGTAAAATGCAGCGCAATATGTGATTTTTATGAAATATTTCTTTGAAAACTGATTTAAACAACTTCCCACAATAGTGTCAATGGTTATGATACAGTTTGACCTCTTGTTATTATTAACCTTAATGTCAGGAGAATTCTCTCTGATGTTGCCTATCTATTTATGTGTTATCTATTAATGCATTATATACTGTGATATCCTATTTTTTGGTGGGACCCAAATTTCGATATTTTCCGAAAATTCGTGGGTACATGAATATGTGGATTACTAGTTCCCACTCATACGGAGAGTAACGTATGTCAAATACATGTGACATTAAATAATTATGTTTAATAACTCGTGGAGATATACATTCGTAGTTGAAGAGGAACCACGAAATCTATGAAATTAAAAACCCAACGAAAATTGCAGATCACAGTACTATTGATTTCAAAGGATTAAACAAATCATGCTAGTGTGAGCTAAATTGTTTGAATATACAATTATTTCGATACAACAGTATCAAGATACGACTATGCATGTTGCTGTAGATAAGTGTTATATTGTAACACTCCAGAAATGTTTCATAATCGAATATATTTGTTGCAAATAAATAAATTGTTTGCGTTTTGCGTAGAAAAGTGAGTTGACTGAAAATTCATGATTACTGAGACTAATTGAAACAAGGGGTTAACAAATCCTAACCGGTTATTTATGTTTTTGTAAAATAAGATACTCTTTTTGAGGTACATTCGTGCCATTGGTATGGAAAAATTGTAAATGAAAATTAGAATAGTGTTACTATTACCGTTTGTAATACTCCACAACCTTTTTTTTAACATGTCGCAGATTACATATACGGATCATTTTAATGATTTTGAGTACACTTAATTCAGCGAATATTTCTTCCTATTTGTGAAAATATGAAAGCGCGTTTTTTTCAACGGACTTACATCACAATGCGTATAAAAATGTTCGCGTTGTTATATCTCTTTATAAGCCCTCGTGAGGTTCTTTTAATGAGTAACGCAACAGAATTAATTCCGTTTCTATCAGCTTATACTTCTGTGCATTAATCCGTGCTAATGATTATTACATAATGCCACGCTCTTCGTACATTCAATTACATTCAATTTGCAATATTAACCTCACGATTTTGGGATTTCTATTTTACATGATTATATACCACACTGAGAGAAGATTAGTTTTATTACCTACAAGTCCCTCAAGTTCGTGTCTAACCCTAATTTTGTTTCATAATTTTGAAACACGTGATAATACGATCGACTTTGACATTTTGTTAACGGTCAAGAAAAGATTATTACTTTTATCGTTAAAAATAATATCAGGTATAACTTTAAAACTGATTTTAGATTAAATTTAATTCTTTCCTCTTATTCAACCTAAAAGTATGGGTCATCAACGTGTTATGCCCTTTTTCTGTTATGAAGATTCATATTAATTTGCACATGCTCCTTCTATGTAAATTATAGGTATCATTCCATGATTTGTTTTCACATAATATTGAATAATGATTCATGTTTGCAAATAAGATTGATGCGCACATACAAACATCGATATAACCATCTTCTTTTTCAAGTCTTAAAGCGATACTCACAGCAAAACCAGATTTGTCAAGTTGCTGAATGCGTAATCCGGGATTCGTTCTATTTTGTTGACGGATAAATCTCTGCAAAAGAGAATAAAAATTAAATTAAAAATAAAATAACTACAGGTCGAAAGATTTTGTAATTCTGTAGGTGAAAATGATTTTCACAATCTTTCGGACGGAGTAAGTCTTATATTTTGTGCTAAGTATGATGTGTTGAAGAAGACAAAATCATAATCACAGTAGTAACTGCAGCCATACAAATCCACGTGCAAAGTGAGTTAAACCTAGCATAACAAAACAAATCCACGTGCAATGTGAGTTAAACCTAGCATAACAAAACAAATCAACGTAACTAGGAAATCAAACAAACAAGACCGCGTGACAAGGGAATCACACCAACCATTGCAATACAAGACCACGTGACAAGGGATTCAAACAAACCATTGCAATACAAGACCATGTGACAAGGGACTCAAACAAACCATTGCAATACAAGACCACGTGACAAGGGATTCACACAAACCATTGCAATACGAGACCATGTGACAAGGGAATCACACCAACCATTGCAATACAAGACCATGTGACAAGGGACTCACACAAGCCATTGCAATACAAGACCACGTGACAAGGGATTCACACAAACCATTGCAATACGAGACCACGTGACAAGGGAATCACACAAACTATTGCAATACAAGACCACTGAAGGAAATTGAAATTGGTGGTTTTATTTGGTAAAAGCCTAATCAATTTAATCACGTTTCAGCTAACATTGATATGAACCATTCTTAGGGACATTTGATCAAATGTTTGATTAGAAGGTGGAGGTTAAAGTTTGGAAATAATCACAAGATTGCTTTTAATGGGAACATTTTTAAATGATTGTTTGAATACCAAAGTAAGCGATACAAGCCCTCGGAGTCTCTTTTATTTTGCGTACAATTTTGAGTTACTTTTTTCCGTCAGTATTTTGCATGGTGAAGCTTTGAACTAGACCCAAGTCAATCAGGTTTTGCCTTTTGACCAAATCACAATAACAAATACTAGATAAAATTTGATCTCAACCCGATAATATCCACTCACCATAAGGAACATATTTTCAAAGATGCCATGATAAATTCCAAATACTGCATTCGAATTATATTTATAGAATATTTGTCAAAGCGTGTTGATACTAAAGCGGCATTCAATCAGAAACCGTAAAATAACACAGATGCGTCAAATGTTGTTGATGTGCTGATGCCATTGTACCTAAATGAGCGCAAAGCAAGAGGAAATTGATCACATCTCATCACATCTGCTGGATTCAAAGATAACCTTTTTACCAGACCATGTCATTTAGTTCACGAAATCAAAACGGAATGTTATTATGGCATCTGCAACACACATGAAAAGGGCATTATATTGTTGCGAGTGTCGTAATTAATTAACATCACATCTAGCATCAGACATTGCGATACAGAATTTCAAGACATAGCTCATGATGAATTGATATGTGCTGAGGTCGTCAAAACAGCATCAAATTGATGAGCGCCATACTTACAAGGCTTCCAGAGCCGCAAGGTATTGAAAAGCATCCGTCGGAAATGACGTCAGAGAATTAGCTTCAAAATGCAAGGACTTTAGCCGTCTTAGATTTCTGAAGCTCTCAGCAGGCACTTGTTTGATGTGATTGGCGTCCAGATGTCTGAAAAAATTAAAGGAAAGTTATGATTTTGTTATTGACATGCTTCTCTTCTAAACATATAGATCACTTAACTTTATATAGTCATACAGGTCAAAGAAGTACTGAAAACGAACAAGTTTAGCGGCATTCCAATATTTGCGCCCTTTGAGTTTCAGATATTGCGATAAATTATTACTGTGCAAATTGTATTTACTTTATATAAATTTTCCTAATGCTTAAAGTGTGAGTATGCCAATTCATCGAAGTGCTTATCTTTCAAAATTACGTTAAACGCTAGAATTTAAGCCCGCTAAAATAAACGTATGATTATAAGGCATGGCCTACTTAAAATTGGTATATAGGGCAAGGAGATAATTCCAACAATACAAACAATATAAAGTTCAATATTTTAGAGCAAGCCGTTCCTTTATCGAGAAAAACAAATTTTATTAACTAATGACAAAATTGAAATATAACAGTATGTCACTAATATTTAACAAACAAGAATTCCACGGAAGTGGATGTGTCGCCTGCGAAGGAAGCTGGGAGATTACGAAGAAATAGATACACTTTTCATTTCAAGAAATGATGTTAGAAGTAAGCAATAATCAAAGATTATTTTTTTGGATGACATCATTTTGTTATATAATCTGTTATTCTGGGAAGAATACCATGAGTTTTAAGGTACTTGCTATGGATACTCATTGTCTCAATTCCACTCAAATATGGTGTCCACAAGCAAGACAAGCATCGCCTCATTTGTATCCATAAAAAAAATCTTGAAAATGCAAGTATGCTTAGCACTGCATGAAGTTTTATCGGCCGAAGGAAACTCAAGTTATCGCACGAAAACAGATTTTCTAATTATAGTAACAGTGACCTTGACCTTTGACCTTCGGACCTGCAAAGAATTCTTTATCAAGCACTTTTGGTAAGGAAGCACTGCATGAGTTTGAGTTTGATAGGCACAAGGAAACTCAAGTTATCGCACGAAAACAGATTTTCTATTTTTAGTAACAGTGACCTTGACCTTTGACCTTCGGACCTGAAAAGCATTCTTTATCAAGCACTTTTGGTAAGGAAGCACTGCATGAGTTTGAGTTTGATCGGCACAAGGAAACTCAAGTTATCGCACGAAAACAGATTTTCTATTTATAGTAACAGTGACCTTGACCTTTAGACCTGAAAAGCAATCTCAAGTTATCGTACGAAAACCTCTGTGCGGACGACGCCGACGCCGACGACGCCGCCGACGCCAACGCCGACATAGCAATATCTATGTGTCAACAGCTTTTCGCAGGCGACACAAAAAAACATCAACAAACGAACCCCATAAACCCTTCGGTCAGTGTTAGCCGAAGGCAAAATTAGCACTGACCGCATCGTTGTCCATTGATAAAATCGATTTTTCATAAGTCAGAATCGTTATAAAGACACACTACAAATGTAAGACAAAGATGGTGTGGCGGATACATTATAAGTGAACACAAACATTTAATTTAGTCGCTTAATCACGCTATAAAATCAGCAAATTTTTTTGCGGTTTACATCAGGAAACAAGGGAGCTATATTTCGGTTTTGCTTTTCTTTATGACTCGCAAAGAATTTTTAAATTATGTAGTTAAAAACAAAAAATCAAAATTATTTCAAGCGACACGAATCTTACTTGATATGACTGGCATTATAACACATTAAATTAAATAGACTACCCTCTAAACCTATTAAAATGTCTGTTTTTAAATGAAGCGCATTAAAATAGTGCACCTGTTAATGAAGTATATTTAAATAGACCAGCTCTGTTTGTAGCCTGTTAGAATACACTTCCTACTATTGAAAGCCATTAAAACACACTTCTTACTATTAAAACCCATCAATGTACAGCTACATATAATGTATTAGCCATACAAAGCAACCTTAACTATATCATCAGAAAAATGACTTATCCGGAACACCCCAGGTATTTTTCACGTTTTTTCATGATAAAAGGCCGAAATTGTTCCAAATGAAACATGACCAACTATCATAGAATGTCGATGTCCTACAGGGAAAAAACACCAATATTAATAAAATATGTATCGCATCTATAATTGAGATACGGCTGATACGCCATAAAACAGGTTTTATAACATAAAAACATATACATCATAGGTAGTAACAAAAACATTGTCACAAAAATGTGTTTAAGTGTTTTTATACATTTAGTCATTAACCCTCCATTAATCTCTTGTCAGTTGATATTGAAACTGAAATACATGCTAGCTGTATTATCAATAAAGTATATACATTAATGGGGATACTCTCAAGAACGCACATGGTTTTTTGTTTTCTCTCCTCGCTAATATGTCACAAACAGACACATCCAATGTTCATCAGACCCGGTAACAACAGATGGCTTTGTACTGCATCAAAACGTACTCATCGATCTTACGTGTAGGGGAAAACTCACAGTAGATTTTTCCGAGGATTACACATAGAAGCTCTGTCTAGGAGGTACTCATAGTAGATTCGTCTGCAGGTACAACCATAACAGCTTCCTCTAGTGGGAAACTCACAGACGAGTTGTCTGAGGATACACACAGCAGCTTCGTTTAGTGGGAAATTCAAGAAACTCACAGTAGATTTATCCGCGGAGAAAACAGATTTGGGTAGTGCCACACTCTCAGTAATATATTTTGGGGATACATGCAGTACCTTTGCCAAGGGGTTAACTCCCAGTTGATTTGTCTAGGGAATACTCACAGCAGCAACAGGTTTTGAAGCGTTTTGAAGGCCTTTGGTACAATTTCCAATTTGTTCCCATCTAGGTGTCTGTTCCAAACAAGCATAATTAAAGACAACATATTAAAAATATTAAACAAATGTACGTTCATGTATTACAGGTGGAATAACAGTCAGAAAATGATGGGAAAATATTTATAAGCTCTGTTCAATACGGCTGAATAATGTTTCAATCATTTTCGAATGATGGATGTTAATTTTGTTAGAATGCAATTTTCTTTTTTTTTAAATTGTAAAATACATTTATAAGCTAGACGTTTAAACTTTTGTTAGCGTAATTAAATCTTGTGAATCGAACGCAGCCAGAAATAGCCCATGGCTTTTCCTGAAACCTAACTCGGAAGGAAGGTGGATGAAAGGAAATATGTAATTTCCTGGTCGATATTACACCAGTCACACGCATTTTTAAAATTAAATAACGCTCAACGTTAGACGTGCAAATGTAACTCTTTTCCCGATCTGTAGCCCGGCTTTAAACCGCGTCACACGGGATATTTCATAGCCGTGTGCAGAGTGATCTGGAAAGTTGTCTAACTCAACACGAATATGTTAACTAACCTCTAGAACCCCCCCCCCCGCAAAAATGCTAAGCGTCTTCTGCTTCATCGCAAAACTGATATTTTTTTGCATGTAAGGTCACGTCCTCAACGTGAGACGGCGTTAGTGACAACGAAACAAATAGGAACACTAATGAACATCAGCCAAAAAACCAACCTTCATATCACTTTAAGAAATAAAGAAATAACATATTTCACAATTAGTTTATAACGGCGACCGTAAAACTTTATAAACCTGCACCTTGAAACCATGTTTTTTAAGTCTATCCTCAGCAGACAACATCTATCATGGAAGTCATGACATCCGAATCAATGGAGGCATGTAAACACCGTAGGTATGAGAAGGAAGAAGTCGAAAACGTCCCGCTTATCGTACATCTTAGTAGTAAGTCGTTCAGCTTATCCTAGAGCTTAGAAGAAATGTTAGAAGCATAAATTGAGGACAGCTGTTGAAATAAATGCTCACGGGGTATACTCGGTTAACAGGACATCGTCGATATTGCTGGATATGAAATCGCAGAAATCGATATTGGTTCGCTTTTTGTCAGTAATACTTGAAGAGCCGATTGATAAATTCAGTCTCATACGATAAAAACCGGCTTACAGTAGGAAAAGAAAATGCCATCTTCCTCAACAAAGATGTTGTCAATAAGGATTCGATCATGGTCACGATTTCATCCTAGGTATTTTATGCGAGGCGACATTCCGAACAGTTTATTTAATTCCTTGTCGGTGCAAGTTACCTATAGCTCCTGATCTGTCTGCAAAAATTGACCTGACTACAACACGGAGTTACGTCATCGGAACCTATTGGAGTATCCAATGAGGAAACAGAACTGACACATATATACAAGGCTCTCGGTTCGAGACGCGCATTGTTTATGAGCCGTATACATTTCCGAACAAATCAAGATATGAGCAACAAGGAAAAACAAAATGGGGGTGTGACCGTTTCAATGCATACATTTAAAAAACAGTTCAACTTGAATCAAGTGAAAGTTTAAGCTATGGTCGGAACGAAATAATTAAAAGGTTTAGGTAAGCACTCTTAGGAACATCATAACGTCACCAAGCACAAGGATATTACGGGAACTTGATTCGATGCAAAAAGGACAGACACGACGCCAAAGAAAGAACCAAGATGTCATGAATACCGTGGAACGTTTCATCAGTCTACCAACACAGGTAACCAAAGACCAGAACACTCATACCTTTGACAAAGATGTTGCATTTCATAAACAATAGAGTCAATTTTGGGTTTAGGTTCATTGTGTATCTTATTAAAATCAAACTTTGTTTTTGTGAGAACTCATATAGAGTCAGAAATCTGATCAGATTGCAATCCAGCGCTGTAATAAATCTGCAGCGGATATGATCAAATGTGGTTACTTAGTATCGCATGTCACCAAACAAGTCTTTAATAACTGGAGGGAAGTGATACATCGTGTAAGATAAGGCTATATGACAGGTTCAGCACAGTATACCTTGCGTATCCAGCCTTTTGCAATTTTGGATTTTTATAGGAAGTTTCTCGTCAACATCGGTCTGTACTTTCAACATGATCACCATGGAAAGCTTACTCCGAAGCAGTAAGATAAGCGTAATAATTTCGAATTTGCAACCGCAAAATGTCCCTTTCTTGACTGTTACATCCTTCCTTCCCCCAATAACGATGCTGGTATTTCTCAGTTTATTTAATATTCACGGAATTCGTCACGGACAAATAAACAACACAAGGTTTTGAAAGATGCGTATTCATGAGAATGTGTCTTATTATCGTTCTACCTTTTCCCCAAAGATTTCATTTCTGTTTTCCTTCTGTTTATATTTTGTCCACGTTTCATAGAGATGGAGGTTGAAGTCTTCCTAATTCTTTGGTTTTGGTCAACAAACTGTCGTTTTTTACAATGATATAATTTTTCTTTTTGCAAGAAAATCTTTCCTATTGAAAAATATATCAATACAATAACTGAGTGTATATTGCATACTCAGAATACCTAATACAGGTATGAAAATTAATTAAGAAAAAAAAAATGAAAAAAAATGAAAAAAATAATAATACTGCTGGATAAAAAATAAAGAAATATTCACGACTTTCTTACATATAAATACAGACCGGAATCATCATTGCATACTCCTTGTGTGTTCAACATCGGTTTTAACCTATTTGATTTTGGTTCTAACTTAAGTTGCAGTAAAAAGTGACCTATTTTTTTTGAACTCCATACGATTCTAATCTTCAGATGTCACACGCTAGAATAAACAATGCTGTCTATGGTATTGTTGTGCATACTTACAGGGATTTGAGTCGGTGAAGGCCATGCAAAGCGTTGTCGGACATATCCACGAGAACGTTGCTGGTAAGACGGCTGAGGAGAAATATAGCAAAGAAAGCATTTAAAAAGACGGAAGACTTCATATTGATATATACAGATTTTGTCCACAATGGAGCGTGCTTCTCCATTCAAACACCCAAATAGACGATATACTTTATATACTAATATATGCTACTTTATTCACAATAAAGAGTGCTGCTTTTTGACATCTGCCAATAGAGCAATTCCTGAAATTAGTTCTCTTTCAATTCATGGGTGTATTTTCGCAATGACAATATTCACGATGTCCCTAATAAATGTTATGGTTAGATATTATTTTTCTAAATAAAACACTTTCATGTTTAGCTTTTATTTTAAACTAATATTCTTAAACAGCGGAAAGTTGTATGAAAAATCAACATATTTCTAGAAATATTAGGTGGTATACCAAATTTTTGAAAGATCGTTTTAATTTATATAGATATATCTTATGAAAGTAAAGGACTAGGGTCGTTAAGGGTTATTTCTGGCCTCATCGGGGATTTTGAATTAAGTGTTATATTCGTATTCGTGAATAAATGAAGTGTGCAAATATCAGATATCAAATTCATCGCTGTTTAGGAGATATGGCATTACAAAGAGAGCCATAAACCCGCATTTTTCCAATAAAACGTGTGAGTATCGTCTGTTGTACGCTATTTGGTTGAACATTCACCATTTTGAAGAAAATTAACACTTTTAAATTTTTGAAAGACTCCGCATGCAACAAACAAATTTTTGTTTTTCACATGGGGAGGCTTTCATTTATGCATGCTAACTGTCCAAAAACAACTTATTTTGGCTATTATTACATAACAACACACTTCTGTTGCTATGGTAGGGCATCGACGCATGCGTATTGGGGAAAATATGTAAGAAAGATAGACCCAATTAGCCAATATTATGTTTATAACTGAAATTGGTAACTTATTCAAGTTGATTTTTTTTATGAGGCCAAATATGACCAATAACGCCCCAAGTCCTTTTGTGCTAGATATCTAAAGAGGCGGATACAATACATCATATTCATTTGATATTGAAGTTGTAAGAATATACTCATAAGATATATTTCATATACATTAAGCAATTTCCAACGTAAATCAAAATTTTAAGGATTTCTAATTATGAAGCTTTCATTTTCATATCTATCCACCATTATTGTATGTAATAGATTGAAAATCTTGATAATAAGTTGTTGTTATTTCTTTAAAAATATGCCGGCATTGAAAATAAATTTTGAAAAAGAAAAAAACACATTTTCAGTTGAGTTAAAAACTATAACATCTTTGAGAAAAAATTCATGTTACACAACCAAAAAGTGTTTATATGTGACTTTTCGATGACTAGTACGGTATACCATCTTATTTTCTTTTTTTTGAAAATATGCCATTGTAGGCGATAACTGCCTAAATAAATTATAAAATAAGGCTCCTATAAAAAAGGCGTACTTTGAAAATAAGCCTGGGATTCCTTGCTAAGCATGAAAATAGGCCGTGCCTTATTATAGAGTTGTTAGGACATCTCATAACAATTACTTCTAATGTATTAGATTACATTAGATCTTTGAACAAGCACTAAGTGTGCCTGACATACTTTTGAAATTTATAATACAGCGAAATAATCTACAGTGAACAATTTCCAAATTTAAATAAAACGCTTTTTATCAAACAAAACGTTTATGCAATTTATGTCTTTTTGATAAAGGAATACGTCTGTCGTAAGATATATATACATTTTAATACGGCATCTCTGAAAATAAACATGGCAATGGCGAATAAACGAATAAACACACCTTACTTATCCGACACAATGAACATGCATATTTTAAACCAAACTGAAACACTCCGTGGGGTATCTCATTAGATGCACATGTTTCCGGTTTTTGCCGGAGATAAAATCAATGTAACTTTTCGAGACTAGTACAGGGAGATACTAAATATGTCGATCAAAGGGAATTCCATACTCAGGAAAAGGTTGGGCTAGATGACCTAATTGATTGTAAAATACGTCAGTGTAAACTGACATGTCACGGCATTGCAGCTACGTGACAGCATTGCCATTGCCGCTAACGAGACGTGATGCCTTGTTGACATGCAAAGGCCTTCCTACTGAAGGATATGCCGTCTCTAATGACCTTAAATGTTGGGGTACAACGTTTTAGTGTATTAGGGGCATTGGTTTCATTCACGTTTGAGTGTACTTTACTCATTTCACGCCAGTGTGTTAGAAGAGGAGACGTTCATGTACTGTAGCCGTCTTGTCAACACACGTTTTAAGACGCCAAATCAACGATGTTTGGTAGAAAACGTTCGTTCAAAGTCCAGCAATAATATTACAGGAATAAAACACAAATCAATAGTCGACGTAATGATGTGCCAGAAGTACATGACATTTGATCAAAATAAGCCTTATTGGTTTTATTTCGAACAACTGTTTTGCCAAAATAAACTGTTTTCATGTTCTCATGTTCATGGAATTTAAGTAGTTTTATTGCCATGTAAATTGTTCCGACTGATTTTTATCTTTAAACGGATATATGCTGAACAGGTCATCTACAGTATATAACCATTTAGGTACATACGTATGGAAATGGGTACAAATAATATTTTTTATAGAGAGATACATGTACTAAGGATTGAAAAAAGGTCTCGGATAAAACAATGCTTAAAATTCATTATTGTACTGCAATAAATATTCGGTGGATTTTCGGCAGATTAACTTATGCAAATTCATTGTTTACACGAGAGAGAGTGCAAAAACCGTCCACCTTTTCCTGGTTCAATGTTTATTTTCATCGCTGAAACATGTTTATTACCAACTGAAACGAAAGTTATATTTTCTAGGTCCAAGATTTTTTATCAGGGTTATCTAGTATTAACATTTACTGTGAGATTAAATAGTCAACTTAAAGTGAGGGTGTAATGGCCATTGCCTGTGAAAACAGATACTTACAGATCTTCTAGGTACGTATATCTTTCAAAGACATAGTCAGGAAGAGTGGATATGTTATTCATTCTCAGGTCTCTGTAAATAGAAAAAAGAAAACAAAAATAAATGAATAAATAAACTAATCAATAAAAAAAAAACCAGGATATAATATCATTATAGATCTTATTGAGGCCTCAACAAGATAATGCTATTACCTATAAAAGACAGACGTAGAAATAGAGTTCTCCCACCCTTCACAAATGTGTCTCCCGTTTTAGCCAGGAAAGATCAGCTTGTCAATCCCCTAGGGGGAGATTAGCATGTGTTCAGTTGTGACGTCAATAAAATGTGTCACCGGTAATTGTGACGTCATCAAAAATAATTGACCATATTCATACCCTACATGTGTTTTTGTTTACAAACATGGCAGACTTCTGTCGGTGGAGTTGTGACTGAAATAATAGGATTGGAGAAAAATAATCATCTCCTACTTTGAGGGTGTGACAGAGAAAATCTCCAACCCTCGGGGTGATTTTGTTGGTCGTCTAACCCTTGGCAGAGCCTCGGGTTAGACAACCGAGAAACATCGCCCTCGGGTAGGAGGTATCTCTGTCACACCCTCAAGGTAGGTAAAGATTATATTATTCGAGTAATCAAATACAAATATACCTTGAGAGGTAATTAGTAGATATGGTTAAACGTATATTAACCTCTTTACATATCTAAAACGGTAACGCATGGATACAGTAAACCGTATCTCACTGGTAAAGAATACTAGATTATTTTATGCACATGGGTGTAAGATAAGAAAATTCCAACCAAGGGGTTTTCAAATTGAGTAAAACCCGAGGCTTGTTGTTTTGCCCACATTTGAAACTTCTTAGGGTGGAATTTCCATATTGCACACCCTTTTGCATGAAAGAGTATTTTTTTGTCATTCCAATCACCAGAAAACGCTGAGAAACCACAAAAAAAATGTGTGGCAATTTCCGCATTGCGGTATTTAAATGTTTCCGCGTGACGTCCAAACTGTTGTCAAAGTGTGAAGTCACCCATGTGATATGGGCTGTAAGAAGAAAATGTCCAACACTCCTTTCTCCTGGAACTCCTGGACAGAGTTCTGTCATATACTCACAGGAATGAGAGAGAAAAAAAGTGTCGGCTATACATTATGACTTTTGCAAACCAAACAGCTAAAATAGAAAAAATCGCTAAAAATGGAAGGAAAATGGTACACAAATAAGTCCAATGTTTATGTGCTAATAACGTTGAATTAAAATCGTGAAGAATGGACTCTGGATCTGATTTATTAATCTATTATTTCACATAAAATATTTTACCTCAAATATCTGTTGGGGTTAAGGTTTTTGTGTAAAAATATCAGGATTTGAACGGCATTTTTATTAATGTTCATACCAGTATGAACATCGAAAAATGCTGTTCAGTACATACATTTACTTTTTTATGTTAGTTATGAATGAATAGTTATAGGTAATCCCTTACATTTCTATATTGAAGCAGCTGTGTCATCAGGGTAAACGAAATTTCTGGAACAGTCTATCGTCACAAGAATGTTTGCTTTTAATAGATGTCTCACGCTATTGGAGGCGGGATGAGGAGTTTCAAAATGACACTGATCAAAATGTATTCATAGCCCTATGAATGCAATTTATTCTGGTAAATTCTTATTGAGAAACTTTCAGTATAAACGTAAATATAGTTGGTTGGGATTGTAGCTGACATGTTTTCTTTACCAAGCAGATCAATCTGTGATAATGATAGCAATTTTTGAAGGCTATGTTTTTTTTAACAAATGCCAAGTGCATTACAAATTAATCGTGACAGAGTTTAATAAAAAAAAAAAAAAAAACATGGCTAGATCAATGAAAATTTGACAAAACCTTTAGTTAATCCCTGTATTAAATATTGCATTAATTCACCAAAACCGATATTGTAGAAAACAATTTATTTGAAGGTTATTTGATTTGATAAATATCATGTGCAATGTTTCAAATTAAACGTGACAGAGTTTAATTATCAAATCATGGTTTGATTAACGAAAATTTGATCAAAAAATTATTCAATTACAGTATTTAATAATTAGAAAAAAAATCATAAAAAATTCTTGTAGAGGGATTATACACAATTATCTGGAGACAAAACACATAACAATTATTGTACATTGTTTAGACAATTACCATTTAAGTAATGGGCTTATGACTTGTAGAGTTAAACAGACGATGAACTGGCTCTCTGTGTATTTGTACATTCGTACTAAACATTGTGTGTGTCATGGGAAGGACAAGCTATCGATACCAAGCTTAATAGCATGCAGAAAAAGTTTCACTACAACAACGGTTTNGAGACTTGCACAGCTGGACCAAATCCTGCCAAAACTAGACCTACTTGATCAAATAAATGAAAAAGTGAACAATTTTGAAAAATGTATCAGAAACCTCCAACAAGAAATAATAGAGGTGCGACAAATAGCGGAACAGAACAAAGGTGTAAATGATAAACAGGAGGAGCACCACTACAATTTAGAGGAACGTGTTTGCTCTATGGAGAAAAAAAATGAAAATTTAAGGAAAGACAACAACGACATGAAAGAAAATTTCCTGAAACTAAAGACGCATTCTATGAAATATAACTTGCTGTTCTCAGGAATTCCGGATAATGAGGGTCATACTGAAAACACTGAAACTGTTCTTAGATCATTTATTCAGGATCAATTACAAGTAGATAATCCCGACGGCATATCATTCGACAACGTACACCGCCTGAGACAGCGACGTGACGGCAAGCCTCGTAGCATAATTGCCAAATTTGCCAACTTCAATGACTTGGAACGAGTCCTCAAAGAAGCTCCTATCAAGCTGCGAGATAAACCGGAGTTCAGTGTTCAGCGGCAATACCCTCCTGAAATTGCCCAAAGACGAGCCGTTTTGTACCCAATAATGAGGGAACAGAAGCGCCGTGGCAATAGGGCTACCCTCAGTTACGACACTTTATTCGTCGATGGGGAACCCTATAGAGCCCCACCCCAAATGAACCCGCCCAACGGAGCCCTACCACCGGGACGGAACAATGAGCACCACTAGGATCACGTCACAAGTGATGCTATGATATAGAATGTTGCCTGGCATGCACTCAAACTATGTTATATATACATGACCTCTTGTTACACATATTATGTGTGTCTGAGTGAAATAAAAATCTTGAAAATCTTGAAGCGACGTCGACTGTTACATGCATTGGTACAGCACAATGGTTGTAACAAAGCTGTTGTGTTTGTTTTATGGTGTTTTTAAAATGCGTCGAGTTGATACGGACACGTTACAATTTTTTTTCCCCATATGCTCGCTATTACTATTTTATTTGATAAATGTTTTGACTGATTCGTCAAGTGTAATGTAATGGGTTCAGTGACACCGATATGATTACCACCTTAGACTACAGAGTGCTCACACTAAAGTTGAAAGGCGTTGTACCGACTCGGGTCTGTAACAAGTGACTAGATGGTTTGTCACAGTGACGTATTCAATCAGATTAATCTCAATGCTGAACGTTAAGCAAGTAAAAACAACTACCATTTTTTATGACATTGGTATGTCCCAACCTGTAGAGAAAATCCAACAACTTTCCCATTTGGGCGAATGTTCAACATTAAGGCAAAAGTAATGTATTGTCAACAGCGGTGTTAGGAAACCGAGGGTATTTAGGAAGTAGAGAGAAAACATATATTTTATATCGTTTTTATCTCAAGGTATTGCCATAATGATATATGGCGAGCGATTGATAACAGTTTTTCATTATTTATACCTACGTACGAGCATGCAAACATATGCCTGTTGTATATGTACTATTGGTCGTGCTGACCGACAACTCATTCACAGTAAACAGGACTGTTCGGAGGTAGACAATAAACACATCTACCGACAACTCATTCACAGTAAACATGACTGTTCGGTGGTAGACAATTAACACATCTACCGACAACTCATTCACAGTAAACAGGACTGTTCGGAGGTAGACAATAAACACATACACCGACAACTCATTCACATTAGACAGGACTGTTCGGAGGTAGACAATAAACACATCTACCGACAACTCATTCCCAGTAAACAGGACTGTTCGGAGGTAGACAATAAACACATATACCGACAACTCGTTCACAGTAAACAGGACTGTTCGGAGGGATACAATAAACACATACACCGACAACTCATTCACAGGAAACAGGACTGTTCGGAGGTAGACAATAAACACATACACCGACAACTCATTCACATTAGACAGGACTGTTCGGAGGTAGACAATAAACACATATACCGACAACTCGTTCACAGTAAACAGGACTGTTTGGAGGTAGACAAAAAACACATACACCGACAACTCATTCACATTAGACAGGACTGTTCGGAGGTAGACAATAAACACATCTACCGCCAACTCATTCACAGTAAACAGGACTGTTCGGAGGTAGACAATAAACGCATATACCGACAACTTATTCACAGTAAACAGGACTGTTTGGAGGTAGACAATAAACACATACACCGACAACTCATTCACAGTAAACAGGACTGTTCGGAGGTAGACAATAAACAGTTACATAAACTTATATGAATATACAGATAAACAATTTTTAGCATAATTAAAAGCACATGTACTCCATTATACACAGGTACTCATTGAAACAAATGTAATCATTTAAACTGATGAAATCACCTTAACAAATGTATCCATAGAGACACATAAACTCACCTAATCAAATGTATCCATAGAGACACATAAACTCACCTTAACAAATGTATCCATAGAGACACATACACTCACCTTAACAAATGTATCCATAGAGACACATAAACTCACCTTAACAAATGTATCCATAGATACATATAAACTCACCTTAACAAATGTATCCATAGAGACACATAAACTCACTTTAACAAATGTATCCATAGAGACACATTAACTCACTTTAACAAATGTATCCATAGAGACACATAAACTCATCTAAACAAATGTATCCATAGAGACACATACAGTCACCTTAACAAATATATCTATAGAGACACATAAACTCACCT